AGAGGCATGCTGGTTTTAGATGTTTTCATCCTTTTTGCACTGATTTCTTCCCATTTTTGTGGATTTATCTACCTGTGTTCTTTTGGATGGAGTCTCTGAGTGGACGTCCTTTTTGTTGATGATGAAGTTATTTCTTTCTTAGTTTTCCTTCTAACAGTCAGGCCCCTCTGCTGTAGGACTTCTGGAAGTCCACTCCAGACCCCACTTACCTGGGGATCACCTGCGGTGGCTGCAGAACAATAAGTGTTGCTGCCAGTTTCTTCTTCTGTTATCTTTGTCCCAGAAGAATACCCACCAGATGTCAGCCTGAGCTCTCCTTTATGAGGTGTCTCTTTGGATATACTGGGGTCAGGGAGCTGCCTGAGGAGACAGTCTGTCACTTACAGGAGCTCAAATGCTGAGCTGTGAGCTCCATTGTTTCAGTAAGAGCTGCTGGGCAGGTACGTTTAAGTCTGCCACAGCGGAACCCATAACCACCTTTTTTTTTCCCAGGTGCACTGTCCTGGGAGGGTGGGGCTCTATTTATATGTTCCTGACATGCCGCTGCCTTTTTTCAGAGATGCCCTGCCCAGCAAGGAGGTAGCCTAGTCACAGTCTGCCAGCAGAGGTGTTGCTGAGCTGCCATGGGCTCTGCCCAGCTGCTGTGTGAACTTCCTTGCAGTTTTGTTTATAGAGGTATAGTTAGAACTGCTTCAGTAATGATAGACTGCCTCAGTAATGGTGGATGCCCGTCCCAGGTCCAGCTGAGCTTGTTGCAAATTCAGATTGCTGGTCTTTGTCAGGGTCGGATCCGCTGAGCCAGATCACCTGGCTCCCTGTTTCAGCCCCCTTTTTTTCAGTTGAATGGGTGGCTCTGTCTCCCAGGCATTCCAGGCATCAGTTGAAATGGCACCTGGATTTGTGTGAGTTTTTGTGCGGAGGCCTGTTGTGCCAGCTGAAACAACCATGCTGGAAACTCATGGCACTTTTCAGCCTGTGAATCTCCTGGTCTGTGGGCAGTAATAACTGAGTTTGGAAATATGGTGATCACTCACCCTCTGCATTGTTCTCACTGGCAGCTGCACTCCAGAGCTGTTCCTATTCAGCCATCTTGGATCCCTCCACCTATGTCTTATTTTAGTAAGCCAGCAAACATCTATTAAGCATCTACTACTTAACTGCCAGCCTCAAGACCCAGAACTAGGAAAGAGTCATGGACAAAACCATTTGACATGGTTTTAAAAGGAAGGAAAGACGTCTAAACTATAATGTTCCCAAAGAAAAGTACAATTAATTGAACAAGGCTTTAGGCTTCTTGTTTAAACTGGAAAAAAAAAAACCCATTACATAAAAGGTGTTTGTTATTTCTTGAGATTTGGGATGAAAAAGTTGAATTCAGAAGGCTGTTTACATAACTAATCATGCCATTTGGTACAAGATAAACTGAGCACCCAGCTTGTTCTTTGGGGGCCCCATTAAAATGACAAAAAGGGGCCTGGCAGCTGTGCAGTGGCTCACACCTGCAATTCCAGCACTTTGGGAGGCCAAGGCAGCTGGATCGCTTGAGGTCAGGAGTTCAAGACCAGCCTGGCCAACATGGTGAAACCCCATCTCTATTAAAAATACAAAAAAAAAAATTAGTTGGACATGATGGTGCTTTTCTGTAGTCCCAGCTACTCAGGAGACTGAGACATGAGAATTGCTTGAACCTGGGAGGTGAAGCTGCAGTGAGCTAAAATCATGCCACTGCACGCTAGCCTGGGTGACAGAACAAGACTCTGTCTAAAAAAAATTTTTAAATTAAAAATAAAAATAAAATGTCAATAAAAGAATCCAAAGAAAAGAAGCAAAGGAAACCACGGGAGCTTGTTAGTGGACCACTGTCTTAGTCCATTCAGGCTGCTATAACAGAAATATCAGAGACCGGGTGGCTTCGGCAGCCATTTCTCATGGTTCTGGAGGCTGAAACATCCAAGGTCATGGTGCCTGCAGATTTGGTGTCTAGTGAGGACCTACCTTCTGATTTATAGCCGGCTTCTGACGGTTTCCTTCCATGGGGGAAGGAGCGAGGGAGCTCTCCAGAGTTTCTTTAATCCCATCCATAAGGGCTCTGCCCTCATAACCTGTTCATCTCTCACAGGCCCTGTCTCCTAATACCATCACATCAAGGGTTACATTTCATCATAGGAATCTGGGGGAGACACACACAAACGTTCTGTCTCTTAGAACCACTAATTCAGACTTTTGAAAGAGGGTCACCAGTTGGAAGTATGCTGATTGATGGGACAAAGCAGAAGCAGCCACAGAGGAGGAGGCTGCAGCAGAGATGGCAACCGGTTTGCTCAAGATTGTCCTAGAGGGACTCTGGGGGCAGGGTCAGGTGGTGGCAATGGACTGGAATGGGAAGGGAAGCCAAAGGGTAGGGATTAACTGAAAGCTGATCTAAGAAAGAGCGTGGAAGGATGATGGGAGGCAGCTGGACTCTGACCAGGTTCTTCCTGCCAATAGCCAACTAAGTATTTTGTTCGAGAACAACCTGGGAAGAACTAGGGCTGTTCATGTGAGTGTTCTTACCCCACAGCAAAGCCCTTCTCATTTAAGCATTTGGGGTCCTCTCTGCTCAGAAGCCAGTTTACTACCTGTTCATCCTAAAGCCCAGTTGAAAAGTCTTGACCCAGGTCCAGAGAGCTCTAAGTCAGCCTTCCCGCTTAAGGGAGAGCCCCAGGGGGATACGAATGCCAGCTGCCTCATATAATGAATCCAGTTCTTCATTCTCAAACAAGAATATTGCAATCAAGGTATATCAGACCTTGAGCAAAAGCCAGCAGCATGAACAAAACCTAACTGGCATTAAACTTATCAGCTCTACTGTTACTGTCAGGAACCCCCCTTTTGAAATTCTGAGAGAAAATCATTTCAAACCTAGAATTCTCTGTCTAGCCAAACCTTTAATCACATAGATCAGAGGTGTAAAGATTGACAGATGTATCTCCCATGCATACCTTTCTGAGATAGGTTACCTGACTGACTTGATGTTATGTATAATATGCACCTAAGAAATAGGGGAAAACATTCTAGAACTTCAATCAAAAACAATTTTAGGATGATGGCTGTGCAGCATGTTTGCAAGGCAATTGATTCTAATTTGAAAAATATTGAAGAATGGACTGAATACCATGCAGTAGATAGGGAGCTTCCAGTAAGCTGAAGGATCTTAGCAAAGTGGTGTGGACCGACTATGAAGCAACCCAAAAAGGGGAGCATGATGTTGACCAGTTGGAGGAGTATAAAGAAACTCCATTTCATCTTAAGGCTAGAAACATTCTCCTCTAAGGGACACATAAATCATTGTCATTGGATTAATAGGGAAGAAAATGTTCAGGTACATTGTTGTGGCTGTTCTACAGTGATCAATATTTACATAGTTATAATGTCACCAACACTATTGATTTTCTACTTTCTTAAAAGAACCTATAGGCAATGTACAGCATCCCTAATTCAGATTATAGAACAGAATGTAAATATTACCAAGCCAAAAACTACAGCAGAAGTAGTACCGAGTGGCTGCCTCTGGGTTCAGACTGAAGGATAAGATGGAAAGGGGGAAGGACTTTTGTTTTTCTTCTTTTGTTAAACTTTTAAGCCATTTACCTATATTACTAAGTGATTTTAAAAAATAACTGCTTGACTAGGCACGGTGACTCATGCCTGTAATCTCAGCACTTTGGGAGGCTGAGACGGGTGAATCACCTGAGGTCAGGAGCTCAAGACCAGCCTGGCCAACATGGCAAAACCCCGTCTCTACTCAAAATACAAAAATTAGCCGGGCATGGTGGCGCACATCTGTAATCCCAGCTACTTGGAGGCCGAGGCAGGAGAATTGTTTGAACCTGGGAAGCTGAGGTTGTGGTGAGCTGAGGTCATGGTGAACTGAGATCATGCCACTGCACTCCAGCCTGGGCAACAGATCGAGACTCTGTCTCAAAAAATAAATAAATAAAAATAAAAATAATTACTCTTCGAGGAGTTCGGGATTTAGAATCAAAAGCTCTTGGTTCAGGTGTCTGGTTTCAGTGCCACTTCTGGGGCCACAGACAAGTCAGACAGGCATTCCAAAGCCTGTTTCATGCCTCTCAACAATGCCACCCCGCTAGGAGCCAGGACATATTGTCGGGAGGAGTCAATTGAATAATATATGTAAAAACTGTTTGTAAACTTCTAAGAATCAAGCAAATGTGAATTTTAATTTATATTATTGTTAATTACTTTATTAGAGGAAGTAGCTGGTTGAAATTACAGCATTCTACCTGAGATGGTTCACGTAGTTTCGATCTCTTAAGTGATTGGGGTCATGAGGAGGAGGAAGGACTATGTTTTTGAGCATCTACTCTGTAGTCCACACTGTTCTTAGTGCTTGACATGGGTTTGGGGGTTTCTCAGGTTTTCTTCAGATGGTCCGTGGTGCAAGGGGAAAAGATCATAGGTCTCGAGGGGTTTATCTGCTAGCTGCTTGAGAAAAAGTTATGTGAGCCTTACATTCTATGCTGTAAGATGCCTTGTTTGTCATAATTTAACGAAATTGAACACTGATGTTTAGTCCAGTTCACCAGCCCTCTTTTCTTCCTGTTGCTCCACATTCCCCCGGCTAACCACTGCGGTCAGTGGCAGGGGGTATCTCCCAGTTTGAAAAACACCAAGTGATAATCTGGCTGGCCTTCTGTAATACTTAGAATGTTATGGCACAGGTGATAATGTTCCAATTCTGCTCAACAAAGTTTCAAAGAGATTGAGTGCTTTGTCCAAGGTCACATAGCTGGTAAGTGAAGGAACTGGGTTTCACCCCAGGTTTGTTTGATTCCAAAGCATGTGGTTTTGCTCAGCCCTGCCTTTAGAGGTGGAAACTCAGATTAGCCTTTTATTGAGCTCTGTTTTACACACTTGGATAATAGAATGCAAATGTCCTTCTTGAGTTTCTCCTAGTTTGGGTCCTTATTGATTGATGGTTTTGTCTCTGTTTCCAGCCAAAGCACCAGACAAACCTATTCAGGTGGTTTATGTGCCCTCACATCTGTTTCATATGCTATTTGAGTTGTTCAAGGTAAGTGGAATTTTGAAAACATGGAAAGAAGTCTTCACTTTAAATTACTTTGATTCAGGACATAATGGATTCATTAGATTAGCATAAGAAAAAGGTTTTTGCATAACCATTATAAAAAATTCTATTTCTGATATCCTGTGGGTTTTGTAATTTGTACACTGTGAGATAAAAAATTGCTGTGTACAGTATAGTTTTCATGAATATTAGTACATATTGATTTTGAAGCTTAATTGCACTTTAGTCATTTTATGTAAAATCCATACAATTTTTATCTTTAGTTATGAGATTAGAGATGCTTTTTCATTTCCAAACCTGGCAAAGGCTTTATTGGTGGTAGCCAGATCAAAATAAAAACATATTTGTACATATTTATGCTTCTGAACATTAACCACACTGGTACATTAGTAGTTGTTCCAGTCCTGAGAGATCCTGCAACCCTTTTATATATTTGTATCAATTCAGAAGATCTAAGAGAGGCAGAAGAGAAAGATTTAGATGAGCTGGACCAAAAGAACCAACCCCCACCCCAAATTCTTTAGACTCTGCAACTTAAGCTGTTGCTTTTGTTAACCAGTAGCTAATGACATTTACAGTAGCAGTATTACAGGCACAAGGCATTTGAGCTAAAATTTCATTTCTTCCAGTGTGTGAAACACTAAATTGAACACCTGAAAAATCAGTTATGCTGATTTGCTTCCAAAGATTAGAATGTTACTGATGTAACACTTTAAGGTTGAGATGGGCATTCAATTGTGAACTTTCTCTTCAGCAGCTGTGGCTTTTTCAGAATTTCTTTTTAACCGATATTTCTTCTGTGTTTTTCAGCCAAATGATTAATTTTTGTGGGAAGCATGCATCTTTTCAGTTTTTCTGCCTTCTTTAGAGAAAAGGTGCTCTATAAATGCAGACTGATAAATAGGATTTAAAGTGCACAAATCAGCCTCTGCATAGCCTCATTACATGTGATAAAAACATTCCTCTGGGTTGAGTTGAATAATTTAAATACCCTAAAGCAAAAAAAAAAGAAGAAGGAAAGAAAAATAAATATTTAGCATGTTGGATGAGGCTAAGACTAGGTGAAAAACAAAGTGTCAGGAAATTTTTCCTTGATTTGAACACGTGTTTAGCTAAGCTCTTTAGAGGGAAAAATGCCATATCAATCCGACTAATATTTGCCCCAAAAAAGGATTGTTGGGTATAAGTCGTCTTGCATTTCTTTCTCTTTAAAAATTGTGGTTTGTGATTCGGCAGTTTGATTGACAAAGAGATCGTATTATTTTAGAACTCAATGAGAGCAACAGTCGAACTCTATCAAGATAAAAAAGAGGCCTACCCTGCTGTTAAAACCCTTGTTACTTTGGGTAAAGAAGACTTATCCATTAAGGTAACTGTCTTATGTGCATGTATACTTTAATTATCAGTTGTGATTTAATAGTATCTAGACATTGAAAACTCAGAGGGAAGAAAATTGACATTTATTGAGTGTCCTATTTGTAAGTTCTATGCTAGATCCTTGGCTTGAGGTACCTTATTTGAACTTCATTAGAACCTTGTTATTCAGGGAGTTGAGCAAGACCTCAACACCACGCCTGTCAGATCCTACAATACCATTCAGTCTCCTTTGTTTTACACTGTTTACAGAGGAACCATATGTCACTAGGGGATTCAAAGCCCTTGTACATTTTGGAGTAATCTTCGATGTACTTTATTTAATGAACCCATTACCTCCTACTAAGTATAGATCAACTTATTTGTTTTGACTGTTAACATTTTGTGCACTGCAGATCAGTGACCTAGGTGGTGGTGTCCCACTTCGAAAAATAGATCGTCTTTTTAACTACATGTATTCGACTGCTCCTAGACCCAGCCTGGAGCCTACCAGAGCTGCCCCTTTGGTAAGCGTCTGAAACTGCTACTGAAGGAAAGATCATAAACATGGGAAGGGGCTCAGAGGGAGCTGCCTCTCTCCCCAGATTGTCGCATTAGTGTGGTTGACTTAGAATGTTGCCTGTATTACGGTTTGGAGGAGGGAGAATGTTTTGCCTTGGCTACTTTCTTTGTGAATCCTTTGGACTTGGATTTCCTCTCTGATCTGTGTCCAAGAAACATTCCAAGCTGAGTGCCTCACTCCCAGACACAGAGAAAAAGTACCTCATTGTGGTAAGACTGCTACTGGAGCACCATTTTTCACTTTGTGCTACCCTTGGAAGGGGTGGAAGTTGCCAATGGGTGAGCAAAAGGACAGTACCGAATGCATAGCTGCTGCTTGGTCCTGTGTACTCTGGCATGCACACCACAGAGGCACGAATCACTTAGTGCCTGGGAATCTCCACTGTCAAATTTGTTTATATAATTAAAATGTTACATTATGAAAACATTAAATTTTTATATTAAATAACATTAGCATGAAACATACAGGTGGTGTATGCATTTTCAGAGCCCTTTCTGTCTCACTCTGGAAATAACCTTCAGCCCTATTAAGGCAGTGAGAAAAGCCTCTGGTTGCCATGGTAGCATTTAGATCCTGGTAGGGCCACACTTTCTTCCCCTGCTGAGTGTTTCTAATTGACAAACAACAATTGAACCCTTTGTCATTAAACACAGCAACATATCTATCAGTCTGCAAAATGGTTCAGGGTATATATTAAGTTTCATTTTAAAGTCCTACCTGACTGATAAGCATATAAGATTATATTTTATTTGTAAGAATAAAATCAAAGACTTTGCATCATTTATTTGAGACAGAGTTTGTTAACTCAGCATGTTGGAAACAGGAAATCATTTATATAGGAGTCGAGAAAATTGATGAAAGATCACATTTGAGAGGCATTGTCTTGACTAGGCTCTGGTATACACTGAAATACACATCAAAAGGAAAAAAGGCACTACAAACAAATCTAGAATCTTCCCTAGTTGTTTAAGAGAAATATAGATTGTCTTGTCCAGGTCTTAAAATAGAATCTTGAGGATAGCTATTATGTAATAGGTTTTTTTTTTCTGAATAAACCTGAGGACTTGTAAGAGACCTTTAAAAATTATGAATGCTTATTCCCATTGTATAGGTGAGGAAATGACCTTCCCCAAGGTCACTGAGCTGATTAACCACAGAGCTGTTACTGGCCATGTCTGTGTTCTTTCCAGTGTACTAGGTGGCCTCTCCTTTTGAGAAATGCTTCCGCTACTGGCTCTCCCAGTTAAGAAACTGGCCTGTAATCCTAGTACTTTGGGAGGCCAAGGCGGGCTGATCACTTGAGGTTAGGAGTTTGAGACCAACCTGACCAACATGGTAAAACCCTATCTGTACTAAAAATACACAAAAAAAATTGGGAGCAGTGGCACATGCCTGTAGTCCCAGCTGCTCAGAAGGCTGAGGCACGTGAATAGCTTGAACCCAGGAGGTAGAGGTTGCAGTAAGCCAAGATCACACCACTGCACTGCAGCCTGGGTGACAGAGTGAGATTCTGTCTCAAAAAAAAAAAAAAAAAAAGAAAAGAAAAAGAAACTGTTCTCAGCTTTAAAGTGGGCACATGAGTATGTACTACTAAAAAACATAATTTCTTCATTGAGCAACTTACGCTTTTACACCTCTGTGCCTTGAAACGTGCATTTCTTTTTCGAGAATATCCACCCAGAGAACTCCTGTTGATCCTCTGACACTCTAGGAAACTTTTCAGGAACCTCAGCAAATTCGAGGTTGAGGTCCAGACCTCTCCTCTGCATTCCTTGGGAGTCTGGGCTTACACTCACAACTACATTGGCCTCGGAGTTGTTGGCTGTTCTGTGCTGGGCATGAGGGCAGGCTTTGGGCCTTGCATGAGCACAGGAGGCAGATTTTCTCATGTCTCTTCCTAGAGTGAGCTGGTTTCTTTGCTGTGGTTACCTGAGTCACTACTATAGATATCTCATCTTCACTATTGGGCATATTCAGCTAGTCCTAAAGCCCTTAAAGGATAGGGTACTTTCTTTCACCCCCTGCCCTTTCAGTTAGACCCTACCTTGAGGGAAGGTATCACGGACAGATGTTAGAAAATGGCAGAAATCAATGTAACTTCATAAAATTGCTGCCCTTACTATCCATAGTACCAGCTTCCATTTATTTAGTTTTACTGTTCCAAGATTTTTTTTTTTTTTTTTTGCCAATCAGTTTGAGCTTATAAGTTTGCTCAGGTTAGCCTTGAACTCATGACCTCGCCTTTGCAAGCGCCACGACCTCCGGCGGGAGCCACTTTGGACCCACTGTGCCAAGATTTTATTCTTGTTATATCATTTAATCCTTATAGCAGCTCTGAGGTCAGCTTTGTATTATATGTTCAGATGAAAAAAATGGCCTCAAAGAGGTTGAGTACGCTGCTCAGAGTGACACAGAAAGTGGATTTCAACTTGGGTCTCTCTGAGCCTAAGGCAACTCTGCACATGATTTCCCTGCTTTCCTTCCTTAACCTTGTTCATAAATTTAACCAGAAGTGAGGAAGCTTGGTGTTACAGCACCTCCTTCCCCACCCTGCCCCACTACCACCACAAACAGTATTACATTTGCTTTCAATTCTTACTGTTCTTGTCCATACCTGAGACCTTTTTTTTCCCAACCTAGAACACCTGTTATTGACAATCAGGGTTCCATGATGAAGAGATATAGGATAGTACTGAAAATTTTTTTAATCCCTAAAAATATCTGAACTACAGGCCAGGTGCAGTGGCTCACATCTGTAATCCCAGTACTTTGGGAGGCCAAGGCGGGCAGATCACCTGAGGTCAGGAGTTCAAGACCAGCCTGACCAACATGGAGAAACCCTGTCTCTACTAAAAATACAAAATTAGCTGGGCGTGGTGGCGCATGCCTGTAATCCCAGTTACTCAGGAGGCTGAGGCAGGAGAATTGCTTGAACCTGGGAGGCAGAGGTTGTGGTGAGCCAAGATCACACCATTACACTCCAGCCTGGGCAACAAGAGCAAAACTCCACCTCAAAGGAGAAAAAAAATCTGAACTACAATATACCAAAGTATTCTCGCGTTCCTGGAACCTTAGAAGTTGCTTTTCAGAAAATTGTTTTCCTTTCCATGTTTTCATCTTGTTACTTTTAGATTTGAACTCAACACTGTGCTGTTAATTTTCATTTCCAAGAGCAAGGAAATCTGATCATGGAACTTTGAAATGATGTGATTTAGTCATCAGGTCACAATCCACTTGATTTGGAATGTGCTTTTTTTTTTTTTGGAGATGGAGTCTCATGCTCTCGTCCAGGCTGGAGGTGCAGTGGCGCCATCTCAGCTCGCTGCAACCTCCACCTTCCAGGTTCAAGCCATTCTCCTGCCATAGCCTCCCGAGTAGCTGGTATTATAGGCGTGCACCACCACACCTGGCTAATTTTTGTATTTTTAGTAGAGATGGAGTTTCACCATGTTAGCCAGGCTGGTCACAAATTCCTGACCTTAAGTGATCCGCCTGCCTCAACCACCCAAAGTGCTGGGATTACAGGTATGAGCCACCATGCTCAGCCTTGGAATGTGCCTTTAAAAAATGCTAAAACTTTGCTTTAAAATACTAAAAAAAGCATTGGTCAAAAATCAGAATATTTCTATTATTATGCAAACATATAAGATGTGTTTTTGCAGGATGAAAATAAAGAGATTATTTGCCATAGAAGAGGATATACATCATTGTAAAGGTTGAATCAGTAAATTCTTTGATTTAAATGTGAATCAAGAATTTATTTTAACCCCTGAATGGTCATCATACAAAATGTGTTAGCATTTGTGCCTGTCTCACTATATTAATTTTCTTTTCTCAATAGGCTGGATTTGGTTATGGTTTGCCAATTTCCCGTCTATATGCTAGATATTTTCAAGGAGATCTGAAACTGTATTCCATGGAAGGAGTGGGTACTGATGCTGTCATTTATTTGAAGGTACTGCATTTTATTTGTTAGTATGAGGCATCTTTGCTTTTTAAAGCTGTAAGTTCTAATCACTGATTAAGAATAACACTGTATCATCTCTTAGATTCATCTCAGATTTACTTTAGTTTCTTATGAAAACCATGTTATGCCTCACCCTGGATTCTATGCTCAGGTATAGCAAAATATGAAATGTGGAGGTATAGAAATTAAAATACTGACTTTGGTTGGGTCAGCAGCACATGCCTGTAATCCCAGCACTCAGAGGCCGAGGCAGGCAGATCATCTGAGGTCAGGAGTTCAAGACCAGTCTGGCCAACATGGTGAAACCCTGTGTCTACAAAAAATACAAAGATTAGCTGGTGTGGTGGTGCATGCCTGTAGTTCCAGCTACTCAGGAGGCTGAGGTAGGAGAATCACTTGAACCCAGAAGGCAGAGGTTGCAGTGAGCCGAGATGACACCACTACACTCCAGCCTGGATGACGGAACAAGATTACATCTCAAAAGAGAAAAAAATAAAATGCTGATTTTTAAAATCATAATTTTAAATTGTGTCTTAAAAAAACTACATGTCTATTGAAAGGTCTGATCTAAAAGGAGGCAGATTTTCATAAACTGAAGTATTTTAGTATTTTGTTTTAAAAACTCACTTGCTTTCCCAAAGTTACAAGAATTCATTAATCATAATATGGTTATATAAAAGGTTCATCTAATAACAAACTTCTCTGTAACACAGTTTTTCTCATTCATTAGTGGTAATTGGACTTTTATTTCTAAACTCTTGAATATTTGTAACGTTTTTTGAATAGGTAATAAAGGCACATAATAAAAATTTTAAAGCTACAGAAGGAAAACTGAAGTTTGTTCCCCCACTGGCCCTAAACCGCCAGTTCTCTTCAGCAGAGATCACTACAGGTCTCATTGTCTTAGGGATCCTCCTCCTAGAGTTGATTCTACATTTATAAATATGGGAAAAACAGAATTTTTCCCACATAAATGAAATTTCAGCACCTTCCTATTTTTTTTTTTTTTTTTTTTTTTACTTTCCGATCTGTGTTGGAGATCTTTCTAGATCAGTTTATGTAGAACTGGCTCATTCTTTTAAATGGTACAATAGCATGCTACTGCAGGTCGAGCATTCCTAACCCAGGAATCTGCAATCCAAAATACTTGAAAATCTGGAACTTTTTGAGCACTGACATGCTTGCTCAGACATCAAGCTCAAAGGAAATGCTTATTGGAGCACTCCAGATTCCAGATTTTCAGATTAGAGATGCTTAACAGGTAAGCACAATGCCAATATTCAAAAATCTGGGAAAAAAAAAAAACTACTTCTGGTCCCAAGCATTTTTTTTTTTTTTTTTTTTGAGATGGAGTCTCTTGTCTCCCTCTGTGCCATCTCGGCTCAGGCTGCAGTAGTGCCATCTCGGCTCACTGTAAACTCCACCTTCCGGGTTCAAGCCATACTCCTACCTGAGACTTCCAAGTAGCTGGGATTACAGGTGCCCACCACCACGCCCAGCTAATTTTTTGTATATTTTAGTAGAGACAGAGTTTCATCATGTTGGCCAGACTGGTCTCGAACTTCTGACCTCAGGTGATCTGTCCAACTCTGCCTCCCAAAGTGCTGGGATTACAGGCATGAGCCACCATGCCCCTGCCTATCCCCAAGCATTTCAAGGGGATACTCAACCTGTGTATGTGATACCAGAATTTAACCAGTTACTGAGAGTATTTATTTTAGATGCCCATGCATCTAAGTGATGTGATATTTGATACCACTTGATGGTGTGTGTTTATAAACCTGGGATGCATGAGACTTTATTTCTTCCTGAGCCCTTTGTGAGACCAATCACCAAGTATAGTCAAAACAGTTGAGCATCTCAAAGCAGTATGAACTGAATTAAAATGTGTTTTGTTCTGGTCATGTGTATTTTGGTTTTGATTTTGAATGAGCAAATGTTTTTATTCCTTTAAAAAAGCTTTAATGTTTTCCTGGCCAGTCTAAGAAATTACTAAGATGTAATTTTAATATCATTTCAAAAATATGTATTAAGGTATCTGATGTTTTAAATAATAAAATTTGGGTTACTATTTCACATGAGAAAAATGACACTGTGGACCTTTGGTGTATATTTTTATTTCTCTGGTAGGCTCTTTCAAGTGAGTCATTTGAGAGACTTCCAGTTTTTAATAAGTCTGCATGGCGCCATTACAAGACCACTCCTGAAGCTGACGATTGGAGCAATCCCAGCAGTGAACCCAGGGATGCTTCAAAATACAAAGCAAAACAGTAATGTACCATCTTGATTTCTATTACAAAGTATCTGATTTGCCTGAATGAAGGTGTTCCACTTACTGTTCCAGGAATTCTGGCACTATAGAGATATTTACAGCAGCGAGCAGGGGTTTGGCCTGCCATGAATTTAACTTAAAAAGCAATTAAGTTTGCAGTTTGTCATCATAAACATTGTAGGTTGAAACTGAAAAAATAAGTTAAAATGACTGATCAAGATAAAAGGTGATCTATCCATGCAATAGAATATTATTTGGCTTTAAAGAGGAAGGACATTCTGATGTGTGCTACAGCATAGATGAATCTTGAAGTCATTTTGCTAATTGAAATAAGCCAGACGTAAAAGTCCAAATACTATGATTCCACTTATTTGAGGTACCTAGAGTAGTCAAATGCAGAGGCACAAAGTTGAAGGAGGTTGCCAGGGGCTATCAAGGAAGAGGGAATAGGGAGTAATTGTTTCAAGGGTATAGAGTTTCTGGTGGAAAGATGAAAAAAATTCTGGAGATGGATGGTAGTGATGGTTGTACAACAGTGTGAAAGTACTCAATGCCGCTGAACTGTACATGTAACAGTGGTTAAGATGTTAAGTTCTGGGCTGCATGTGGTGGCTGACGCCTGTAATCCCAGCACTTTGGGAGGGTGAGGTGGGATGATCTCTTGAAGCCAGGAGTTTGAGACCAGCCTAGGCAACATAGTGAGAGACCCCGTCTCTACAAAAAATTTAAAAAGGTAAAATTATCTGGGTGTGGTGGTATGTGTCTGTAGTCCTAGCTACTTAGGAGGACCACAGACACACACCACCCAAAGTGCTGGGATTACAGGCCTCAGCAGGAGGATCACTTGAGCACAGGACTTCCAGGCTGTAGTGAGCTATGATTCACACCACTGCACACCACCCTGGGGGACAGAGCAAGACTGTGTCTCAGAAAAGAAAAAGATGGTAAGTTCTGTTATGTATAGCTTAGCACAATAAAAAATTTAAACATTGTAAAGGAAAAATTATAATTAGCAGAACAAGTTTTATTGTTTTATGGCCATAAGGAAAACAATCTGTGGTTTTCTTCTGATTATCTACCCTTAAGCTTCAACTCTACCAGCAACAGTAAGGGTTCTGCTTTGTTTAACTTAAGATAATCATGTATTAACAGAAAAGCAATATATGTGCATTGTAAAAAGTAAGAAAACATTGACCGGGTGCAGTGGTTCATGCCTGTAATCCCAGCACTTTGGGAGGCTGAGGCAGGCGGATCACCTGAGGTCAGGAGTTTGAGACCAGCCTAGCCAGTATGGTGAAACTGTCTCTACTAAAAATACAAAAAATAGCCAGGCATTGTGGCACACACCTGTAATCCCAGCTACTTGGGAAGCTGAGGCAGGAGAATCGCTTGAACCCGGGAGGTGGAGGTTGCCGTGAGCCAAGAGAGTACATTGCACTCCAGCCCGGGTGATTGAGCTAGACTCGATCTCAAAAAAAAAAGAAAAGAAAAGAAAAAGGAAAATATAAATAAGCCAAAAAAAGAAAGGAGAAACCTCTGTGTTCCCAAAACCCAGAGATTACCACTGCTATAGTTCTGTGTATGTTCTTCCAGATATTTTGCTATTTGTGTATATATATATTTTTTTGCAAATGAGATTACACTATTCATACCGTTTTCCAACCTGCTTTTGTTTCATTTAGCCATCCCATCTTTCCATGTCAATAATCTTTCATCTCATTAAAATTCACCTGATTTGTCTAAACTGAGATCTATTCCAGGACCATATAACACATCTGGGTAGTTTCAAGTTGTTGTTTTCTTTTAATTTAAAAAATTTTTTGTGGGTACACGAGATGTTGTGATACAGGCATGCAATGTGAAATAAGCACATCACAGAGAATGGGGTAGCCATCCCCTCAAGCATTTGTGCTTTGAGTTACAAATAATCTAATCCAGTTATATTCTTTAAGTTATTTTAAAATACGCAATTAAGTTATTGTTGACTGTAGCCCCCTGTTGTGCTATCAAATAGTAGGTCTTTTTCATTCTTTTCTATTTTTTGTTGTTTGTGTTTTTGAGACAGTGTCTTGCTCTGTTGCCCAGGCTGGAATGCAATGGTGTGATCTCGGCCCACTGCAACCTCTGCCTCCCAGGTTAAAGTGGTTCTCCTGCATCAGCTTCCAAGGTGGCTAGGATTACAGGTGCCCCCCACTATGCCCAGCGATTTTTTTTTCATATTTTTAGTAGAGATGAGGTTTCACCATGTTGACCAGGCTGGTCTCAAACTCCTGATCTCATGATCTGCCCACCTCGGCCTCCCAAAGTGCTGGGATTACAGGCATGAGCCACTGTGCCCAGCACTTTCTATTTTTTTGTACCCATTAACGATTCCTACTTCCCCCCAACCCTCCCACAATCCTTCCCAGCCTCTGGTAACCATCCTTCTACTCTCTGTGACCATGACTTCAATTGTTTTGAATTTTAGATTCCACAAATAAGTGAGAACATCTGAGTTTGTGTTTCTGTGTCCGGCTTATTTTGCTTAGCATAATGACTTCTAGTTCTCTCCAAGTTGTTGCAAATGACTGGGTTTCATTCTTTTTTACGGCTGAATAGTACTCCATTGTGTGTGTGTGTACTACATTTTTTTATCCATTCATCTGTTCATGGATACTTAGGGTGCATTTTGTTTTGTTGAGAGACCATGCCAGTTGTCCTGAAAAGGTGCCCTGCCTTGATTTGTTTACTTTCTTCTTTGAAATGTCATTTAGCTTGTTCCCCATTCCCTGTATTTCCTATAAATTGGAAGTTGATTAAAAGCTAATGGAGGCTGGGTATGGTGGCTCATGCCTGTAATCCCAGCATTTTGGGAGGCCGAGGTGGACAGATCACTTGAGGTCAGGAGTTAGAGACCAGCCTGGACAAATGGTGAAACCCTATCTTTACTAAAAATATAAAAATTAGCCAGGCATGGTAGCACATGCCTGTAATCCCAGCTACTCGGCTGGCTGAGGAATGAGAATCACTTGAAGCCAGAAGGCAGAGGTTGCAGTGAGCCAAGATTGTGCCACTACACTCCAGCCTGAGCAACAGTGAGACTCTTATCTTTAAAAAAAGAAAGAAAGAAAGAAAGCTAATGGAGCGTTTTTTGCTAAATCCATAAGCCCTGTTGCAGAACTACACTATGAGACCCATGACATTTCATTGACCCACCATTAGTGATGTGAGCATATTTTAGGTGATAGCTGTGTGATCCCTTTGAGTTATACTTATTTTTCCCCTCTTCACTAGAAAATAATCTGTGTGGTGTTATTTTGGCACTATGCAAATGTATACTTACCCATCAGCTGTTCACGTAATGGTTTTTACTCCAGTTGATCATTTTGACCTGTGTTAAAATTAACACAATAATTTTATTTGTATTTATAAAAGGATGTTGTTTTTTAAAAAAAAATCATTCCTATGTCAATTATTCGCTGATATTCCCCTATAAAGTAATGCTCTTCCTTATCAAATAAGGCCATTTAGATATTTTGAAGTAGAGTTCCTCTGGTAAGTGTTTAACTCTTTCCTTTTAAATTTAAAGGGACAATTAAATTTCCTTCAAGTTACCAACTTTCCAGGTAAGAAATATGTTAAAAAGCCACCTTAAATGGTAACAAATGAGTTTATGGCTTTGTCTTTTTTAGTATTATTATAGATTGTGTTATTTTATTGAAGTATAACATAGTAGTAGTAAAGTGCATACATCTTAAGTTTACAGCTCTTTTTACATGTATATATCCTCCACCCCAAAGACTCCTTTCTATTCAGACACTCTTCCCTCCCTCCTTTACCATGTAATTACTTTTCTAACTCTGTCACCATAGGCTCTCTTCTTGAACTTAAAAGGAACACATTGTCTATACCCTTTCGTCTGGCTTTGTGTGAGATTCATCCATGTTATTGCATGTAATAGTCATTTTCCTTTTTGATGCTTAATTGACATACCTTTGGCCAATGACAGCTATTTCCAGCTGGATCCTTTGTCTTCTATTGCCAAAAACTCAGTAATCTTTGAAAACTTTCTTGCCCGAGATGATATCTTAGATTCATCTTATACCTTCTGTGCCTGTGTCCTGGAATCAACTATTTCCCTCAAGGAGACCTGTTTCTTTTTTTTCCTTTTTTTTTTTTTGAGACAGAGTCTCACTCTGTCACCCAGGCTGGAGTGCAGTGCACAATCTCAGCTTACTGCAGCTTCCACCTCATGGGTTCAAATGATTCTAGTGTCTCAGCCTCCCAAGTAACTGGGACTACAGGCACAAGCCACCACACCCAGCTATGTGTGTGTGTGTGGTTTTTTTTTTTTTTTTTGTATTTTTGGTAGAAATGGGGTTTCACCATGTTGGCCAGGCTAGTCTCAAAGTCCTGACCTCAGGTAATCTGCCTGCCTCAGCCTCCCAAAGTGCTGGGATTACAGGCATAAGCCACCTTACCCAGCTCTGTTTCTTTTTAATCAGTATTGGAGACCCTAATCTGGGAATTGAGAATGCCTATTGTACCTTTTCTAGGCCCTTTTCCTGGACAGACAGAACTATAAAATATAGCTATATTTAAAATATATTTTAAATTATAAGTTCACATTGATATTTTATTCTATTTTAACATTGTAATGTTTCTTCCCAATATATTTTAATTGTATATATTTCTCAATTTTAACATCTTTAACATAATGCAACAGAAAGAGATTTGTACGCAAATACAGTTTATATAGCTTTGCAATATTGTACCATTTAGTAGCATTGGTCTTCTCTGACAGGTGTTATAAATGATATCCACATGGATATTTATTTTTTTCTATGGAAGTATCATGGTGGACTCCTACACAATGTTGCTGGACTGGCTACTTATCTCAAATGATGAAGTTTAGAAAAGTTTTGTTTATGTGCACAAACATACATACTGTCACCATTCTCGGCCAAGTTTAAGCTAAATCTGCTTGAAATACCTGGATCATATCAATTTCTGTTGATTCTATTTTCAGTCTGTATGTAAGTCAAATAGAATGTTGAGCATCATTGTGACCAGTTGATTCAAACTGCTCAAACTATTGCTTTTTCATATTTGAGTAATTTGAGTAGTGCTGAAGCCATCTTTAGAAAAAGGTTTGGTTGTAAAAAGGTGGCTATAATTGAATATTATGTTAAAGGCAATTTTAAAACTAAGTAGTTCAGGTTGTATGCTAATTAAGTATTCATCTTCTAATATATTATTAGATGAACAAATTTAAGCAGAAAACAGTTGTTAAAATTTTAAAATGCTTACTTAACCTGACAATTAAAATTGTTTTACTATACAAATAATTGGTAGAGATTTGGGAAAAGAATTTAGTAAATATATGTATATATATAAAAAAAAAACAAAAAAAATATAGAGAATTTAGTAAGTATAGTAAATCACTTGGTATTTATACATGAGAAATTCTAAGAAAATTTATTTTCAGAACAGTTTCTAAGTAAGAGTTTTATTGAGATTAATTCACACAACATAAAATTCACCCTTCACAAATATACAATCTGGCCAGGCACAGTGGCTCACGCCTGTAATCCCAGCACTTTGGGAGGCCACGGCAGGTGGATCACTTGAGGTTAGAAGTTTGAGACCAGCCTGGACAACATGGCAAAACCCCGTCTCTATTAAAAATACAAAAATTAGCTGAGTGGTGGTGGTGGGCACGTGTAATCCCAGCTACTAAGGAGTCTGAGGCAGAAGAATCGCTTGAACCCAGGAGGCCAAGGCGGCAGTGAACCAAGATCATGCCACTGCACTCCAGCCTGAGTGACAGAGTGAGACTTCATCTCAACGATACATACATACATTACATACATACATACATACATGTATACAATTCCATGTTTTTTAGCATATTCACAGAGTTGTGCAGCCCTTCCTGCTATCTACCTTTAGCCTGTTTTCATCACCCCAAAGAGGAATCTCATACTTTTTAGCAGTCACTCCCTATTTCTAACCAGAGTTTTCACTGAGAGTAAAGAACTGTTTTAAAGTGTACATAAGTAATTAAATGGTCATTCTATTTCTGTATTAATTATAATTCTGAAATACAGCAAGGGTTTTTGAATTATCACTATAATGAAATGCTCTAAATCCTGGTCAAAACAGGAGGTTGTACTCACAAACTCACTATGGGTATTCTCATTGTTTTCTTTGTAGGGACAAGATCAAAACTAATAGAACTTTCTAGAGGATTGAATGATCTGGTCCTCTTTGTGAAGAAACATTGTCTTCTGCAAGTCAACCAGAGAGAACTGCTTTCTCCCACCTGCTGAGCGTGGCATCATAGTTATTCCTAGTGCTTGAGCGTGTATCTTCTCTGTACCACCTGGACTTTTTCATGGAGCTTTTCCTGTAACTACTCCAGATCTTCCACTAAAGTTGTAACTTGTTTATGGCATCTTGCTGTGGTGTGATTGACGCCTGTCGCCAAAGAGCACGGAGCCTCCTTACAGCTCTTGTGCCCTCGTACTCTCCATCTTACTATCATAGCGTCTGATGTCTTCAGTCCCTCCAGGATTCTGCACGCCTTCCCCGTTGCAGATACAGCAGATCATACTGTTGCTCCTTGTGACCAAATACCATATTTGTCCCAAACCTCCACCTAGGGCCCCAGGACCCTGGAAGTAGAAGACATCAGCTGGACAAGCCCTGATGATTTAGTCCCAGGGCCTTTTGTTCTCCCATGCCTCCCTCTGCCACTCTGTGATTTAGACTTTTGCCTTCTTTCATCTGATTGGATTCTCATTGTGAGGTGTGATGACTTTCATGTTAGATCTTCCTCATTGATGCCTTGATTTTATTTTAAAATTCATTTGTATACTTCCGTTGATTAAAGCATTCCAAATGTTGTCTTAGAATTTTTCACCCAACTGATTGGTTTAAAAGATCTTAAGTGAAAAACTGCCTCCTGGTCAATACCAAATTTGTAAAGAGTGTGAAGTGGAGTTTTTATGCTTCTGTCAAACTTCCATCTATCTAATACTGTACCTGTGTCATATTTTATTCCTTTGTAGTCTTCAAAGGAATTGGAAGTTTCAGTGTGATGCACTTTACTAGTTGTAAAATAGACTATCGGAGGGAAAAGGCCTCTCTAGTCTATTTTTGAAAAATGCTTCAGGTCTTGATAATTTTTATTTTCATTAATCTTAGCCAGTTTTAGAATTGTCAGCTCAATCTGATTTTCACAGTTGTTTTTGGTAAAAGTTGGAAGTGGGAATTAGCAGATGACTTGAGATAGGGAAAGAGGAATGATGTTATATTTACCCTTAGAAATAGGAGTTATCTAAGAGTCCGGATTGAAACCAGCATCCTATATACAGTTCCACAGGATGTGCTTCTCTTCATGGTGATTTTTCATATGTATCATCTACTTTGACTTCTGCCCTGCTTTAATGTCCGTATAAATGTTTCAGTCCAATTTGTGTTGAGTCCACTGATGTAGAAGTTTTGATTTGTAAACCATTCATCCTGCTTTAGTCATGTGATAGTACCAGTATAATTAGCCCCACTCCCACCACTGTGGGGGATTTCTCCCCAAGAGGAGGTGTGCTTTGACCAGCTGCATGTGGCTTGATTGCATTACTGTTTCTCTTAGTTCCGCTGGATCTGGTTTTCTTTTATTTCATTATATTACCTGAGCTCAGGGCATATATCATTCATCTTTAGAAAGAGCTCATCTCTTCCATCCTTAGAAGGATCCCATCAGAAAATGTATATGTAATCAGTCAGGTGAAAGAAATACTGATGTACTTCCAAGAGACTGGTGCGAGGGGGGCCATAGGAAGCCCATAGGTCTGAGGACTGAGTCAGTGTCTTGGGGATGGGACTGTTCCATATGATTATTTTTGTGTGGTGTAAAAAATGTTAAAAAAAAATGGTCCTTACATGCAAAGACCCTAGCTTCGTTTTGTTTTTTGTTTTTTGAAACACAGTTTCACTCTGTTCCCGAGGCTGGAGTGCAATGGTACGATCTCAGCTCACTGCAACCTCCGCCTGCCAGGTTCAAGTGATTCTTGTGCCTCACCCTCCCAAATAGCTGGGATTACAAGCACTTGCCACCATGCCCAGATAGTTTTTGTATTTTTAGTAGAGATGGGGTTTCACCATGTTGGCCAGGCTGTTCTCGAACTCCTGACCTCAAGTGACCCGCCCACCCTACCTCCCTTAGTGCTAGGATTACAGGTGTGAGCTGCTGCACCCAGCCCCTAGTTTCCTTATAAACATGAGATATTATCTTCCTAGGCTTCAATTTTCAACGATACTCCTTTACGCTTTTAAGTGTGATACATTGTAGGAAAGAGGAGGCAGCAGTTTAGGGCATGCCGCCTACTCCCTGACTCTGACAGTATTTCTCTTGTTTGAGGAAGGCCCATCGATCGCCACATCTTCATGAGCAGCACCATGTAAGGGGCTCAATATGGAAAATATGGTGTAGAAAAATTCCATCACATTCTTCCCTTTACAAGTGTTTTCAAAAGTAAAGATTGATTTCAGTGTGGCTTACTCACATCCATCTGACCCCCAGTGCAATCTTGCTTCTCCTGTCTTTGTTTTTCTTCATTAAAAATTTATCTTTAATTCTAAAGCAACTGCAAAAAGAGTTTCAGGAATAGCTTGTGTTCTCCTAGCTTACTAGCCCTTTTACCCAAGTGCTCATTGATCCTTTTTCTCAACTGTACATGATTCTCTGAATTTAGGCAGAGAATCTGGCTGTTTACTGGGTTTGCCTATAAGCCAGTGGTCATATTTCTCCACATAGGTTGTAACACAAATAGACATGGACCCTTTTTCAGCTAAATTCTTTCCCATTCCTCTGTATTGCTCTCTCACTTATTTAATTTTAAGTGGGGACCGTGTCTATTTAAAATAGTGCCTGACACATAGTAGGTGCTTAACAAACATTATTATTAATAAATAATATTAAAATAATATTCATAAATAGTAGGTGAATCAAAACTGTCAGACATTTTCCTTGGATGGTAGGGCAACATATAAGTTCTTAAACCATCCTTGTCTCTAAATTAAAAATATGGAAATTCAGGTCGGAGCTGTGGATGTGCTGAATTTCCTTATAGTGCTAAGAGATGACTTTAAAATGTAGAAAAATGAAAAGAAGTGGAAGGATAGATCCACAGGAGCCATCTCTTCCTTTTATGTCTATAAATATCTGATTTTGTCTCCTGAATACAGAATTCTTTCCATCCAAACAGTGTGACATGGTTTTATAGCCTTGCTTATAGATTCCAAAGACCGTTCGCATACAGCATGCCATTTGATCCTTACGATGCCATGAGGTGGACCATGCAGGTATATCTCTATTTTTCATATGAATCCCAAAGCAGTTAAATAGTTTGCCAAGGTGGCATGGTAAGTTGATGGAAGGGCCAAAGCAAGCAGTTAGGTAGTGCTCTGAACAATACACCAGGTGATTCATATTATCTCTTAAGGAATTTCTTGAGTATACTAATTCTCAAAGGGTAAGCTCTAAACCCCAAATTTTCTATAGGGCAAGTTAATTCCATTCAGGGAGGTTTTCTTTTGTGTGTTTCCATTTTGGCATAGTTAGAGGAGATAATCAGATGGATTTGGCAGCTTTTACCTAAAAAGACAGGCAACTTGAAGTGGATAGCTGTAGGTAATTACTAGAGTTATTTAGATTTCTGTGTCTGAATGAATTCAGTGCTTACTGCCAGCCCTTTCATACAAAGACTCCACATTTGAGAGTTGATGCTTTTATCTTTTTGCAGACTGGATTACAGCTTCAGTTGGGTTTTGTTGCGTATTTACAAATGTATTCCTGTTGCTGTTACTTACGAACAATAACTTGGCTGGCTGTCAGATTCTTGGATCACATCCTTTTTCCTTCCATTCTCTGGAGACATGATGTTATTGTTACTTTATTGTTGTCCATATCTGGTGGCACTGAAAGGTCTGAGTCCTGATGGCTTTTTCTTCCCCTTTTGTAGGTGACCTGATTGTTTGCCCTGGATACTTGAATTCCTTGTTTATCCTCGAAGTTTAGTAACTTAAGTGGAGTATATCTCAGGATTGACTGTTGTCTGTTGCCTTTTTCTGGAATGCGCTGAGCATTAGATATTGTCATTTCAGGCCTCACTGCATTTTGTATCAGTTTAGTCTGTTCTCTTCTTCAAAACTTTGTTTTTGTATTGGCTGTCATCTGTCCTTCACATTTATCTTTCCTTAGATGGCATTCATCTCATCTTCATACTGTATGATTTTTTCTCAAGTCTTATCCTCCATTTCAGTGACTGACTCAGTTTTCTGTACTGTTGATTCTAGGGCTTGTTCCTTATAATGTGGCTTCCACTTCTGTTACAGTTTTGTTTTATTTTATTTTATTTTATTGAGACAGTGTCTCACTCTGTCACCCAGGTTGGAGCGCAGTGGTGCGATCTCTTGTCACTGCAACCTCCGCCTCCCAGGTTCAAGCGATTCTCTTGCCTCAGCCCCCCGAGTAGCTGGGAGTACAGGCTTATGCCACCACGCCTAGCCAATTTTTGTATTTTAGTAGAGACAGGGTTTCACCATGTTGCCCAGTCTGGTCTTGAAATCCCGACCTCAAGTGATCCACCGGTCTCAGCCTCCCAAACTTCTGGGATTATAGGTGTGAGCCACCATGTGCAGCCTAGTTTCATTTTTTATCTCTTTCTTTTCTTAGCTCATTATGTTGTTGTCTTTGATTCCTTATTTCTTCCAGGGCTGAACAATTTTGTGTACAGTTTTCATGTTTATGAGCTCATTCTTTTTCCAGCATGTATTTATCTATCCTTTGCGTCTTTCATTCCTTTTCTTGTATTATTTTGCTTTTATCTTGATGCACAAGTATCATGATGACCCCTTCTGCTTATGATGTCTTTGAATGGTACCGGTTCTATCTGTCCAAGAAGAGTGGGTAAATCCTCCTTGACTCCTCCTCTTTTGAGCAAGACATGTTTGAATGATAACCTTAGCACTTGAACTCTAAGGCTAGCTCTTGATGGGCTATAGTGGTGGAGGGTGTTTTTGGTTTTCATTGATTCTGCTATTTGGATTTGGGAGAATAAGGAGTGATGCGAAGCGTCCTTGGAACATGTTGTCTGTGAGTGCCTTCGATAGACTTTGTTGAATCCGCTGCCCTGGGGGTGGCCAGGTCCCACTGGGAGAGAGATCCTCTTTGCATTTCCCCATTCCCACTAGTTATCCTAGCAGGAACATGGTGGGTTTGTACTTCTGCTCTCCTGGATTGCACATGGCGCATATTTGTGAAATCAGCTCCTGAGGTAGTTTCTCTCCTCTGGTCCTGCTTCTCACTGCTCTTCCTCTTTTGGATACAGGAGGGGATGAACACACATGGTGCATCTGAGATCTCAACCTCCCGTCCTCGTTTTTGTGGAAACATGCCCACACAGAGTGTGGTTCGCCTCTCCTAACTGTTGCCAGTACTGTTTTGCCAAGTTAAATGATCAGTAGAGTTCTTGGAAATCCTCTCATTAACTGCTCAGCAATTGTGGCCACTGGAGACTGGGAGAAATGCTGGGCAAATGCAAGAATGCTTCTTTGATTCATCCCCAACTTGGTTGTATCTGTCAGATATTGCCCTGGAGTCTGTGGTATGGAGTTGTGGCTTTTACTAGTTTCATTACAGACAGCTTTTCTTGTTCAACTTTTGGATGTGTGGGTCAGAGGGCAGGAGCACTTAAATAAACATGCATTTGTTCTGCCATCTTTTTGGCAGTCCAGATGCCTAAACATTGGCTTTGAAGCTAATGTCCTTCGTAATCTACATTTGAGCAAACAGAAGGAAGCAATATTGCCAGCAAGAAAGGATGATTAACAACTTAACCACTATGGGATTTTTGTTTACTGTTCTTTGTGGAAAGATGACTTTTAAGTCAGGTTCCTGTCTCACTGATTAGAGATATCAGTACCTTCTGGTTTGAAAATAGAGGACATGCGACATTTTAATGAACTTAAGTTATCAACCATTGACAATTATTAATTAGCTGATTAAATATGATAGAATATTCCAAACTAGCACATCACCAGAGTTACCAAGAGAAGCCTGAGCTCTTCTTTATGAATAGGTTGTTGTTGGAGCTGTGCCCCTGAGGGGGGTTAACACCTCTGAGACCTTAACTGTGCCACAGGTTTTCTTACCTGTCTTTTCAATCAACCCATTTTAAAATTTGGTTAATCAAGAAAGAGAAAAGTGTTAAGTCTTCATCAGAATATTTTTTTGATTTTTCTTGAATATATATTCACCTAGTTTGGAGACCTGGAGCCCACCACCAAATCACACCAAATTAATGTTTGAAAGCGAGTTTGTAGGTAGATGCCAGGGCTGGGGTTTTATTTGGCCTTTTTGTAGAATGGAAGCCACCTTGCCTCAGTGGTGAGCACATCCCACCAGACATCCAGCAGCAAACTTTCATCACCTTCAGAGCTCCAGCATAACGGCCAAGGAGCACTAGTGACAGCCTTGCTGTATGCACCAAGTTCCATCCTGGGCAGTACCTTTCCCTAGCGTCTGTCCTGGTGTGAAATGGAGACTCGAAGACCAGTACCCACATGTAAGAGAGACTAACAAAGGGAGGGTGGCAGGGAGAGGAGTCATGTGAAGGAAAGCTACCTTTAATCCTCCATTGCAATACTGTCCAATGTTGCCAGTGTGCTAGAAACTGTGTTGAATGCTGGGCACGTGTCAGGGGTCAAAGCAGACAGAAACCCCTGCCTTATGAACCCACATTCTATTAGGGAAGACAGACTAGAAACACAATAAGGATATTTAATAGTACAATTGAGAGATGAGTGCTGTGGAGAAAAATCAACCCAGAAAAAGAGATGCAGGAGGTAGTACCAAATCTCCATGTTGTTTTCATCACGGATAGGTGCATTCCTTAGAAGACAAAGCGTTAGTGATTCCTGAGTTTTTCTCACCTTCACTGATCAATCACCTTCAATTGATCTGAATTCGGAGAGTCTGTTTTCTGTGCCTGCCTCTGCACGCAGCTCTGCAGGGGACCCTGTCGAGGTCCCCACACTATGGCTTCGGGTAGACAGAACAAACCGGAGCCCATTTCAGATCATTGTCTTGCTGACCAATGGGGAACAGTGGTCAGGTGAGAGGAGGCAGCTTTTACAATCAGACTTCATTGAATAGTGTGGGCTGCTGTTTCCTTGTAACAAAACCCCATAATTACAGCAGTTTCCGGATGTGTCTTTTTAGGACTTCAGAACTCATTATTTGAATAGAAGTTTAAAGCATCTGGATGATGATGCTGTAGCTAAAACAGCTGCTTGTCAGAAGAGACCCTATTTAACACTTCCAAACTTGTTTTAGAGGTGGAGGAAAGGATAATCTGGGATGGCTTCTCTCTCAGGTTCACAGGTCAGTAACAGCTATATACATCCCCCAAAAGGAAAATAAAATGACAACAATATTTTGGTCACAGAATTCCTGAGAAACCTCTGTTTCTACCTTTCTGTCTCTAAGAGAGTGACATGAATTCCCCATGATCTGGGTGGTAAGGGTTAGGGCGGCCAGGACACTGTTACTTTGTGTGTGACACAGGTGGCTCCTTATGACAGTTCTTCCTTGCCTCAGAGAGAATATCAGAGCCATGGCGGGGGCCAGGGGGACTTGCAGTTTTCTGTCTGGTTGTCCCTGAGGGTAGAGCTGAGTGACCCAGCAGTGGGGGATTTAAAAACTGGAGAAGAAGTAGGATGTGTTTAATTATCCCTATAGGTAGGGCCAATTTGTCACCCTTTAAATAAACTTATTTGTATATAAACTAAAGCATTTTAGGGCATCATTACTGAAAGCATCCAAGCAAATGTCTGATACAGTTATGTGCCTGCATTAAAAGAAAGCACCTCCCTTATCTCGCCTTAATATCCTTACAGTGTTTTAATAAGTTCGAAATGCATCCTGTAAGTGCATTTTTTTTTTTGCATAAAACACCTAAGATGGAGAATTGACTTCAGTTCTCTTCATCCTTTCCCCTTAAGTGTTAGTGATGCTGCAGGGGCAGCATGCCTCCCATTGGAAGTGGTGACTTCCTCATTTGATAGAGGTTTGCATGTCTCTTGAAAATGAGAAGAAGCAGAGATTGACTTCTGGAGTCCCATGGTCCAGTTTGGACTATTGGGAATATTTTTTGTGGGATTTAAAAAAAATTAGAGACATGAGATAGTACATTTGTGGTACCGGATCCAGGAAGCTTACAGTGAAGAGTATGAACGTAACCTGAAAAGTATTTCTCTGTTCTATAAATCTCTCAGTGACATTTGGATTAATCAAGCATAATTAAATGTAGTTAGATTTTTGTCAGATTGTAGTTCAAAATAATATTCATCTATGGAGAGGGTAATATATTCTGTAGAAATTTTATTAAGCACTTTAGTTAAGCAAACACTAAGGAGAACAAAATCAACCTCAGGAAGGTTAATTACTAAAAAAACAAAGTATAGTAGATTATGTAAATCATTTTAATTTTGAATACTGTGGCTTGAGCTTTAATTTACATAGACAGGTATTTTGAATTTGTTTTTCACATTATATTTTCTAAAAGTATAGACTTGCAATTGCATTCTTTAAAAGTGCTACTCATTTTAGGATTCCATTAAGTTTGCTTAACTTTTTTCATGTTATAGTTTCCAAAAGCAAAGAATTACAGTTCCATTCTAGCTAATTATTTTAATATTCCACTAAGTTTGTGTAAATTGTAAGACCATATTTTTAGTTCTATACAAATGATGATATTAAGAGAAGTATCAGGAGAGAGGGTGTATGTGAAAGCATCCCGCCCATGCCTGGCCTTGCAGTAAGTGTTCATTTAAAAGAAAAATTTAAAAAGATAAAACCTAAGAGTTTAGACTATAGTGTTTTAGTAATTTCTTTAAAGGGAAAAGTAAAGAGATCAAATTGATTTTATATGTATTTTTTTTTTGTACTCAGAGAATTACATTTTCACTACCCCCACCTGTCTCAGGGAATAGTCTTTGATAAGAATCCCATGGAAATCTCTGGAACTCTATTATAGTGTGTTCAGATTTGATAGTTTTATGTAAATTTCAGAGCTAGAGCTTCAAAACTAGAGTATTGTAATCTCAGGAACATAAGATTATCCAAGAAACCTGAACTTTGCTCTTTTCCTAATAAATGACATCCAAATTTCCTTTGTCTAGAAGATAAGCATAGATCCCTTTTATCATGCTTCTCTGAGATTTTCACAGAAAAACCCTGCAATTTGATTTTGTTTGATAATTTTGCTTTTTGGCTTTTCAGTGAGGATTTTATTTTCCATTGGAGCTGACTCCTTTGGGAATAAAAAGCTTTCACTTAAAAGAACATTCCATTAGATAATTCTAACTTCAATGAACCTTAAAGTGGCTTCTTAGAATTCTCTAGATAACTTTTGCAAATGGGCCAAAACAGCACAAATATCAACAATCATGTATGTACTAAGTAATATTTGCCCTCCAGTTAGCAAAGTCAAGAAATGTCTAACTCTGGCACATAGCACTGGTTTAACTACTCTTTAGTTCATCTTTGCCTTCCAAATTGGTTGAAAATGGCAAGCATAGAATGGAATGCATATTAATAACAGAACCACTTAATGTTTTAAATATTCTTACCTTGAGATTCTTTTTGAGAGAAATGAAAGAATCTTAATACCCAATTCCAGTTCTTTTGGCTTTTCACATATGATAGACAGGAAAAAGGCAGTTACAAAAATGGAATCTGATTGGAAGTCAGTGGTGTCCACCATTGAGCTGTGCTAAATGTCGTGTCACAAAAGGAGTTTGTGAAAACAGGTAGGTTGAGTAGAAAATGTTATACTGTTGTTTCTGTTGTGGCACTGCTTTCTTATAAATTCCATTTGCTTTTTGTCACCTGAGCTGTTACAACCATGAGAAACCTCAGTCCATATTTTTAAAGGCACTATATACTTATAGTAAGACCCGACTTATGCCTTCATCAAAAAAAAGTTGAGGTTAACATTCCACATGTTTAATCAGCATGTTTTAGAATATTTACAGCTAAAGTCTGTCACATTAGGGATTTGACAAAACTTGAGACTGCCTGCTCCTGAAGAGTGACCAGGCAGAATATTCCCAGCCTTGTAACCAGCATTAAAGAGTAAACTATAAGGGGCTTGATGAGGTTCTAGATCTGTTCCTTTTCTCCTAGATGCCTGGGTAACTCCTGGGGAAAGCATCACATTAAGTCATTTGGTATCTTGCTTTTCAAGCAAAGTATGTGATTTTGACCAATGAATTGTACATCTATTTAAAAATTACCAAGTGTAACTTGACTCTTGAATGGACAGTCAAGGCAAGGTGACTTAGGAAATATAAAGTATGGAGTATTTTTAAAAATTCAGATTGATTTATTCACTGTTGGAGGAATTGAATTCTGTTGCCTCCTTCATTTCCATTATGTTTTTGTTTGAATTGTGATGCTCTCTTCTCATTGTGATGCTTAGTTCTCATATAGAACTGAGTGCCACACTCTGATTAGAAACCGGAGTTGTGCTCGAGTCAGTCCTGAAAAACATTTTTAAGAAGAACGGAACATACTACTTTGGCATTCTGGCTGACCCTAATCTCTGTACAGTTCCTTGGTGTTAAAATCATTTGAGGTCCTAATTGCTGCTTATGGTTTATATACACACCATCTGCTGCTCTAAGTTTACATCCTCTCAAAAGTATGCAAGTGCTTGAAATTTCAGTGTTTCCCAAATCTAGAACAACTTGTGACTACCTAAGAAATGCTTGAACCAAATAAGAAACGCCACTGTGGAATAAAATATACCATTGTGAACATATCTGATGCTGCAATGAAATGTAAAGTTCCATACTTTACTGATTTTTTGTCATTTGACTGATAAAGGCGGTGTCTAAACTGGGAACAGCTGCTAATAGGGTAAAAGTATTATACATGAAATAAAAGTTCATTACAATATTTGTACTCATAAGTCAAAATCTGACCTGGTTCGCTTTATGCCTCTGTCAGCCTAGTTACAGTGATAAATGTATACATGAGTCCAGTGTTCCCAAGCAGCTTTGTTTATAGAAAGAAGCTTGGTTCCCTGAGTACTATGCTGTTCTGTGGCCTGGCTGGTACACGCCATCATGAATGAAGGATGACTTTGGTTAGAGATAATCTGTCACGCCACATTCCATGGAGAAAAGTGTTTCATTTTGATGGTTGGGAAAACATGACCAGAGAAGTGTATGACTTAGATAACATTTCTCGTAACTTGCAGAGAAATCTGTGGTGTCTGTCATAGCCAAACTAGTCCTGGAGCACGTGGACAATTCTGTACCCCAATAATCAGAACAATAAAATGGTAGTTGTCACTCACTGTGCATCACTATGGTGTCTTCTGAGCTCTGGTCTATTTCTCATCACTTCCATCTATAAACTTCTCTCTTGATTTCTGAAATTTCATACATTAGTGGCACCAAGCACCTTTGCAAATTGCTGGGAATAGACAAGGATACTTACTGAAAGTCTTATGATTGAGCTAAGGAAAAATAGGTTATTTGTGGTCTCTTTCAGGGAACACGGCGCTCACCTTTTTTGGGGAGCATCCTATGGGTGGAATATAGGAACTGTCTAACAGTAAACTGTTAGAGTTGGTATTTTTCAAAATATGGTCCATGGGTGGAAGAAAGAGGCCATACCCTGTACTGTCAAGTCAGGACACTTTTGAGAATGAAAAAGAGCACTATTGTTTCTGTAAACTGTGTAGGCAGGTGTACACTGGCACTGTCATGGACAAATGGAGATGGCCTGGCCATGGCCCACCTACACCAGAGTTACCTGAGATGTGGCTCATGCAGATTCCTGGGTCCTACCTCAGCTCTTCTACTGACTGATTCTCTAGGGAGTAGCAGGGAGGCCTAGGAATCTATATTTTAACAAATGCTCCAGGGGAATTCTTTCAAAAACTAACTTGCAAACTGCTGCCACACGGCATCTTCAGAAGACAAACAACTTGAGTTTTTCAGTGAAAGTGCTATTTGTTCCATGGTCTTTTACAATGAACTGGGCAGCACCGACACCAAAACCCAGTGCCTCCAAAGGCCTTTGGCTGCAGTTAAGTGTTTCCCAAATAATTAACAGATGTAGCCCTCATGTTCTTTAGCAGTGTGTAATTCTTTTAGTAAACATTTTGTGGTAAAGAGGTTCCTTTTCATTTTTTAATTGGAAAGCCACATAACTGCTGTCCTCCATGTTTAATGCTAAAAAAAAAAAGCTCTCAAAAATTTGAGGCAAATGCCTTGGATTTGAATGGTCCTTGGGGAGTGTTCATGTCAGGAAATCACATTTGTCTTTGTTAAGCTACCAGTTAGCTCTGTTAACTGTACCTTAGTTTCCTTATCTATAAATTTAGGGAGTTTCTGGGCAGAGTGGCTCGTGCCTGTAATCCCAACACTTTGGGAGCCCAAGGCAGGAAAATCACTTGAGCCCAGGAGTTTGAGACCAGCTTGGGCAACATAGCAAAATCCTGTTTCTAGAAAAAAAATACAAAAATTAGTCAGGTGTGGTGGTGCACACCTGCAGGCCCAGCTACTCCAGAAGCTGAAGTGGGAGGATCTCTTGAGCCTGGGAAGTTGAGGCTACAGTGAACCACGATCACATCACTGCACTCCAGCCTGGGCAATGGAGTGAGACCCTGTCTCAAAAATGAATGAATAAATGAATAAATAAATAAAATTAGGGAATTGGACTACATGGATTCCAGACTCTTTTTAGGTTTGATATTTTGTGGCACTCTTTAAAAACCTAAAATGGTAAGCAATTACTAATCTACTTTCATGTTGTTTATATATGGAATACAAAAGCAGTGACTCTTGAAATTGATGGTGGTTATACTCAGAATTTTAGTATTACCCATTTGTATTTTACCAAAGTCAGCTGCTATGTTAAGACATCATTCATGACTTGGGATTTGTATTTTTGTAGCAGCAACTCCTGCCCTGGCTTGAAATCTATCAAGTATGTGCGGTTTAGGCTCACAAAGAGACTCCAACTCAAGATCACACAGTTCCATGTAGCTGCTGCAGAGCATCACACTTTAGTGTGTATTTTTACTTCTTTGTCCTTCATTTCAAAATCGTTTCCGAATGACTTAATAATGCGTGCTTACAAGTGATTATCTGCTGATAATATTTTCAGGTACTCGCTTCATAATAACAGATTTATACTATGATCACATGAATAAATCATAAGCCATCATGTAGAAGGGGTTGCCTCTAGGAGGGTTTCTGTAGACCACCATCCACCACTAGGACTCTCTGCAGTGACGGAAATGTGCTATATCTGTGCTGTCCAGTATGGTCGCCACTAGCCACCTCAACAGTTAAAATGTGGCTAGTGCAACTAAGGAACTGAATTTTACATTTTATTTTTTGAATTTAAATAGCTACATGTGGCTAGTGGCAACCATACTGGACAGCCATTTCATCCGTTGAATTATTTAAGATTAACGTGAGCATCCGTTTTCACCAGTTACCAGGCTGGGTGCTTTATAGCAATTGTGTCATTTTTAAACATTGGTGTTAAGGTGAATCCTTTGTCAATGAATCCTTTGCCCTCTGCCCACTGATGACACTTTTATCAGTATAATCATCTCTCTTTCCTTGGTTAAAAAAGAGAAAATGATATTTAGACCATTTCCTATTGTGACCACATGGGAGATCAGTTCTCCTCTTTGCTACACAAGCCATTGATCATCTGCCTTTTTGAATCCATTTACTTTCGGGCTTATTTTGTTCCCTGAGCTGACATATTACCATAGCCCAGAGGGTCTCAATCTGACTCCACTTCAGATCCTTTAGAGGGATGCTGGGGAGTCTTTTTATGAGTTCCCTAGGAGATTCTGACATGCAACAGGGTTGAAAACCACTGATAAAGTTCAAACTATAGACCAGTCTTTGGGAATAGGTAGAATGCTGGCTGCACCAAATCCTGTTTCCCTGGCACAGAGCAGGCCTAGGAGCTTTGCACCTTTCTTGATGATCTGCTTAATGGCATTGGGAAATACTTAAAAAGGAGAAAAGGCCTTGTCAGTTTGGATTTGGGCCAACTAAGCAGCCTTGTGGTGCCCTTCTCTGCAAGAAATTCTAAGTTAGGCTAATGTTACTCTTAACAATTCTCTGGCATTCTTGTCCAAACAGTATTTGCAAGTCCTCAAACAAAATAAACATGTTAATGATTTTAACAACAGTGATGGATGCAGAAGCTTTAGACAGTTCCTTAGCGACAGCTTAACATAATAGTGTAATTATTTCTAAAGTTAGAGATGATTATTGTCACCTTAGCACAATAATTGGAATGGAGCTTCCTATATGAAAACTGCTCTTCTCCTAGGGCTTCAACTGGTAATGAAATAACACTTTATAAGGGCAAATAAATGCCCCATTATTCAGGTGAGGGAGGCCCATCAGGCAGTCTGCAATCAAAGAATCTAGGGGGAGATAGAGAATGACCACCTCATCCATGAATCAGCCCTATCCAATTAGGAACATTTAAACTATTCCATGTGCGGCCCTCACAAAACAGAACCTAACTGCCATTCATGGGCCTACCTAAGGGGTGACATTGTCAGTCTCCTCTTTTTAGCATAGTTTCAAATAGAAAATCTTTTAAAAATCTGGTTTTCCTATTTTCCCTCACAGAGTTGGTAATCTTTGTACTCGGGGACAGTAAAATTATCATGTAAAATGAGTAAGTAAAATACTAATCATGTAAAATTAGTAAAATAATTGTAAGATTCTATTGGTAGAATCAGAAGTTTCAGTGGGCAGAAACATGTACTTTTCCTTAAGAGCTAAGTCAAGTCAAAGATAGGGCCAGTCAGGAGACTGAGAACCAGACTAATAAACTGAAATTGGGGACAAGGGGCAGGGGTTGTGACCTCTCTGGTCTTTGTATCCCCAGTACCTAGTGGCCCACTCAAATGTTTGTTGAGTACTTCGGATGGGAATGTATGCCAGACCTTAAGTTACAATGTGAATCAAAGGCCCTGACTTTCAAAGGAAATTAAGTTATTCTAGAAAGGAGCATGGAGTAGCTTGACACTGTTGTGGCTGAAAGTGATTCCTAGCTTACACTGGCTGTGATCAGCATCCAAAGAACCAGGAAAAAAAAAAAAACCAGGAGGTGAATAGGCAGGAAACAGATTGTGCCTGACAGCCAGACTCTGTATCCCTGGGTTTGTTTCAGTGGGAACATGTCCAATGGTCAAAGACCAGTTACCACTTTTGCTGCTTCTTGTTATAGCCAAGTATGGATTGTACAAGAATATGTACAAGGAAATCGGGGGCAGGGGTCCTTTAACATCCTTCCCTACTGGCCATGGCTCCATGTTTATGAGTTGAGATTTCAACACTTCCTCTCCTTATGGACCAGGCAGCATGTTCCTTTGCGTCAGATATCCCTCGTTATATCTATTCCATGCTTCTCTTGCGTTTTTGTTTTGTTTTGTTTTGAGACAGAGTCTTTCTCTGTCTCTCAGCCTGGAGTGCAGTGGCACGATCTCCGCTCACTGCAACCTCCACCCCTTAGGTTCGAGCGATTCTCCTGCCTGAGCTTCCCGAGTAGCTGGGACTACAGGTGTGTGCCACCATCCCCAGCTAATTTTTGTATTTTTAGTAGAGATGGAGTTTCCCCATGTTGGCCAGACTGGTCTCAAACTCGTGACCTCAAGTGATCTGCCCACCTTGGCCTCCAAAAGTGCTGGGATTACAGGTGTGAGCCACTGCACCCGGCCCATGCTTTTCTTGTGGACATCCAAACTCAAATATTTGAGCAAGGTCATCACTGGTAGCGGTTAAATAGGAACTTTGTTAAATAGGAATAGTAAAAAGAAGAAATTATCGGTATCTGCATGATGGTTACTGCTCCTCAACTCTCAGGACTTGAGAAAAAGATTCAAGGGTTTGTGACCACTGTCCTCAGTCACCTTGGGTTAGAGAAAATAATGGCTTCCCAAAAATGTCCATATCCTAATCCTCAGAATCTAGGAATACGTTGTATTATATACAAAGAAGGAATTAAAGTTGCTGATGAAATTGCTGATGACCTGAAAACAGGGAACTGCTCCTGGGGTTATCTGGATGCGCCCAATGTGATTACAAGGGCTCTTATAAGTGGAGGAGGCAGAAGAAGAGTCAGTGTCAGAGTGTTGTGACATGAGAAAGACTGGACTGGCCCCTGCTGGCTTTGAAGATGTTAGGGGGCCATGAGCCAAGAAATGCAGGTAACCTCTAGAAGCTGGAAAGGGCAAGAAAACAGATTCTCCCCTAGAGCCTCCAGACAGGAACAGCTGCCACCTGCCAGCACCTTAATTTTAGCCCGGTAAGACTCATTTTGGACTTCTGACCTTCAGGACTGTAATTTAATAAATTTGTGTTGTCTTAAACCACTGTGTTTGTTATAATTTGTTATAGAAATAGGAAACTAATACAAACCTCTTCCACTTCTTTCATCTATTATTAATCCCTGGGTACCAGATATAGAAACACATAGAAAAAGAATCAGTGACTCAGTGGTGTTAAGGGGGATCTGTGATCAGGCTAGTAAATGGCATTTTGTGAACATATTCCCAGTGGAACGTGACTACCAAACAGATAAAAAAGACTGGTTATCTTCTCAAGCTATGTAATGGGCCATGTCCCGCTATGCACATGGCAGATGATAACAAGTTTCCTTTGGACTTGGACATTTTAGAGTGACAGAGTTATTTGCAAGTATAGTCCGTTGAAAAGGTCCCCGTGGAAAGGGTAAAGTACGACAACTCTTTCTTTTTTTTTTTGAGACAGAGTTTCGCTGTTGTTACCCAGACTGGAGTGCAATGGCACTCCTCTGCCTTCTGGGTTCAAGCAATTCTCCTGCCTCAGCCTCCCGAGTAGCTGGGACTACAGGCGTGCACCACCATGCCCAGCTAATTTTTGTATTTTTGGTAGAGACGGGGTTTCACCTAGTTGACCAGGATGGTCTCGATCTCTTGACCTCGTGATCCACCCGCCTCGGCCTCCCAAAGTGCTGGGATTATAGGAGTGAGCCACCGCGCCCAGCAACAACTCTTTCAAGTAGGGAATCATCAATTATTTTTAAATGGAAGGTTACAGATCAAATATTTTACTTGTATCTAATCCCTCCATCAGAACTCTTAATGAATAGAGTACAGGAAACTTGCAGCTTAATTCTTTTTCCTCCACTGAAGAAAGATTATAAAGTTAAGGAGAATAGAAATCATTTATAGGTGGGGCTGGGCGCGGTGGCTCATGCCTGTAATAACAGCATTTTGGGAGTCCAAGACACGCAGATCACTTAAGGTCAGGAGTTCGACCAGCCTGGACAACAAAGTGAAACCCCATCTCTACTAAAAATATGCAGACACTCTCACAGACACAGGGAGAAAAGGAAAAAAAATACACAAAAATTAGCCAGGCATAGTCGATGTAGCATGCCTGTAATCCCAGATACTCGAGAGGCTGAGGCACAAGAATCACTTGAACCAGGGAGGCGGAAGTTGCGGTGAGCGAAGATCCTGCCACTGCACTCCAACCTGGGTGACAGAGCAAAACCCTGTGTCAAAAAAAAAAATTGTTTCTAGGAAAGAATACATGTCAACCCTGCTCTGAACATTTCTCCAAGTTTCTCACATTTTGGTCAACTGCAGCTGAAATTTAGCCAATATGGTGCCTTTTCTAGAATATAAGTTATGGTAGTGTAGAAGACTAACATAAGGGCTCTATCACCTACAGATATGTGGGCTCTTAATGAGATTTTCAGATTTTACTATTTATTGGGTTTTACTTGATGGTTTCCTAAAGACGTTGATCACCAGATATACTTTGATGCTTATGAACTGTCACACTCTGTCTCAAAAGCATCTCTATGGGAGTCTTTCTAATCTAATAGTTCCTGCTGAATGCCTGGAGACGTCACCTAAATATTCAACTCTGGTAACCAATGAAGACTCCAAGACGAGAACTGTGTGTGTGATGTCTGTGGGAACATTTTTTAAAAATGTATTTATTTTACTTTAGGCGTATACTATATCTGGCATTTCTCCCCATGTTATCCTTCCCCACCCCCCACCCCCCACTGTCTCTCCCCTACCCCCTCCAACTGCCCCCAGTGGGTGATGCTCCTCTCCCTGAGTCCACATGTTCTCATTGTTCAACACCCACCTATGAGTGAGAACATACAGTGTTTGGCTTTCTGTTCTTGTGTCAGTTTGCTGAGAATGATGGTTTCCAGATTCATCCAAGTCCCTACAAATGACATGAACTCATCCTTTTTTATGGCTGCTTAGTATTCCATGGTGTATATGTGCCACATTTTCTTTGTCCAGCCTGTCATTGATGGGCATTTGGGTTGATTCCAAGTCTTTGCTATTGTAGACAGTACTGCAATGATCATACGTGTGCATGTGTCTTTATAGTAGAATGATTTACAGTTCTTTGGGTATATACCCAGTAATGGGATTGCTGGGTCAAACGGAATTTGTATTTCTAGATCCTTGAGAAATCGCCACACTGTCTTCCACAATGGTTGAACTGATTTACACTGCCACCAACTGTGTACCAACTGTGTAAAAATGTTCCTATTTCTCCACATCCTCTCCGGCATCTGTTGTCTCCAGATTTTTTTAAATGATTGCCATTGTAACTGGCATGAGATGGTGTCTCAATGTGGTTTCTATCTGCATTTCTCTAATGACCAGTGATGATGAGAATTTTTTTATATGTTTGTTGGCCTCATATATGTCTTCTTTTGAAAAGTGTCTGTTCATATCCTTCACCCACTTTTGAATGGGCTTGTTGTTTTCTTGTATATCTGTTATAGTTCTTTGTAGATTCTGGATATTAGCCCTTTGTCAGATGGGTAGATTGCAAAAATTTTTTCCCATTCTGTTGGTTGCCAATTCGCTCTAATGATGGTTTCTTTTGCTGTGCAGAAGCTCTGGAGTTTAATTAGATCCCATTTGTTTATCTTGGCTTTTATTGCCATTGCTGTTGGTGTTTTAGTCATGAAGTCCTTGCCTATTTTTGATAGTGTACCTTTTCCCCCAGGAATTCTGCTCATTAACAAAGGCTAATTCTCTTGGGGGCAAATAACAAGGTTCTTAAATATGGGTTTTATTACACCTTGTAACTGATTGTTTTCCCCTTGAGAATATGTCTGAGGTTTCATGGAAATCAAGAAGAAACTTGCAACCATTGGCTTGAAATACAACCTGTCAAGAATGCATCTGTCTATGTGGCAAAACCGAATAATATGGTGTATGAATAGTAGGTATTCCATTTTTAAATTAATTCCCTTGTGGACTACCAGCCTGGCTTTATGTATTCTAGACCCAAGGCTAATGTCGGAACTGTGGTCATTTCAAAATGCTCAACCTCTCCAGATGGGGTTAATGGAATCTCCTAAATTTGGTGAGTGGAGGGCATGAGCACAGTTCTCAGAACATTGACATCTGCCTTCGGTGCTGACATTTGGGATCTGGATTTAGCACCTACACTCCCATCCATCTGCATCTAGCTAATCAAAGCTTTTTTCCCAAAGATGGAAAAGTGGTTGAAATGGTCACTTCTCAAAGTTTAGGTACACTTGGGAAGCATTCTGTCAAGGGACAAGATAAGCAAAGTGGACGGAACCTGAGAGCATTTTATCTTGATGCTAGAAATGTGGAGGCTGAAGGCATAAACCAGTCACCAATGCTATCAGTTGTGGAGGCCCCAGGGGACTGGAAGACCATCTCTCCAGCTTCCCAGGATGTCAGAGTTCAGTACTTTCTCATGGTCGTTCAGTGACAGCATCATAGTTGGGAGAAGCTTGAGGCAATGCAGGCTGCCTAATACATTCAGAGACCTTTACAGGCAAAGGAGACCTTAGAAATCATTTCCTTGAGGTCAAAGAAGTGAAAAGGTTACGCCAACGTCACAAAGTCAGTTAGTAGCGGAGCCTACAATTCCCTCCACATGGTGCTGTTCCTAACTAGCTTTCAAGCCAAATGTGGGGCCTTTGGTAACTCTAAGGCTTTGCCCTGATCTGCACAGTGCAGAGTTGCATCCTTCTGAAGTGCTGGGGCCACAGCTGGGCAGAGCCAGCCAGCAGGCTGGGACAGCTACTACAACGCCTGTATTTTTCCCCACTGAACTAGAGCACATAAATAGGAACACACAGCAGCACACTTTTTAAGAAACACGACAATGACACACAAGAGTGCAATTCTGCATCACTTTATTTATAAACAAGTTGAGAATGGTGTGGTCCATTTGAGAGCAAGAATGGGATAGGAGTGCGGTGGCGGGGGTGGGGCGCAGGGGACACACAGAGTTGGGGGAGGTTGATTCCAGTAGTTTGCATTATTCAGCACCAGAGCAAATGCTTGGGCATAAGGTCATGCTTTAACCCAGATGAGTCATCATCTTGTCTTCTATGTACAGCATAGTCTTAAGTATGTATGCTCTAGTTATGGCTTTGTCCCTGGACACACTGCAGTGACACAACAGAAAAAAAACTAGAAATAAGTTGCAAATGCCTCATGAGCTATTTCTTTTTAAAAAATCTGATAGCCAACGCTAATGCTGAATGGATGCCTAAAAATCAGGCACATCTCTGCTAGAGACAGGCTCATCTGCTTCAGCTGAGCCGGTGACACTGTCTCGCATCTCTCCCTGGGGTATGACTAGATGCTAAAATAAGTACTGAAGATGGAGAGAAAATAAATCTGTGCTCTTCCTGTCCCTCCCTCAGGGGGTGAAATCACAGTATCTAGTAGCCTAAGGCATGGAGCAAAACTGAAATCCCTAAGCTGTGTCTCTTCCACTCAGACCAGGTCAGAGGCCAGGCCAATGTCTCGTGTCCTGCTCCTCTTGAGGCTGGAGTTCCTTTGCCTTGGTAAGGTCCTGACACACAGGAGCATGCTTGCCAGAAGTAAGTCATTCAGCATGACTGCGGCACAGGAATTTCACCCCTGTTTCTTAGCTGGTGGAGGGGTGATCAGTTGATTTTAGCATCCCCATAAGCAGCTAATGTAGAAGTGCTGAAATGAAACAGCTAGAGAGGCAGGGACCCCCACATCTTTCATGGGCATTTGCTAACCTTGGTTGTGTGTAAAAGGAACCCTTACCTCTTCGTCTGTTAGGGGGCGAGTTAACACTTGAAGGGGAGCGGAAAATCGGCTCATGCCTGTAATCCCAGTACTTTGGGAAGCCAGGGCAGGTGAGTCATCTCAGGTCAGAAGTTCGAGACCAGCCTGGCCAACATGGTGAAACCCTGACTCTACTAAAAATACAAAAATTAGATGGGTGTAGTTGCAGGTGCCTATGATCCCAGCTACTTGGGAGGCTGAGGCAGAAAAATCCCTTGAACCCGGGAAGCAGAAGCTGCAGTGAGCCAAGATGGCACCACTGCACTCCAGCCTAGGCAACAAGAGTGAAACTCTGCCTCAAAAACTGTGTGTGTGTGTGTGTGTGTGTGTGTGTGTGTGTGTGAGAGAGAGAGAGAGAGAGAGAGAGAGAGAGAGAGAGAGAGAGAGAGAGAAGAAACAAAAGAGAGAGGGATGGAGGGAGGAAGAAGGAAGGAAAGAAAAGAAAGGAAGGAGGGGAGGAAGGGAGGGAGGAGGGAGGAAAGGAAGGAAGGAGGGAGGGAAGGAAGGAAGGAAAGGAGCGGAAAATTACTACCTTCCCATTCCCCTAATACTTCAGTCCCACTTTCTCCCATCTTCATAAGCTGCCCTATTCTGCAGTCCTATGTAGCTTCCTCTAGCCCTCCTCAGTCTGAAGTTTCCTTTCCTCACTAGGGCAAAAAGAATCTCTTCCCTTGCTTTGTGTCATTCTTGCTTACCCCTCCAAGCTTGGAGCACCCTTCCCATATTTCTCATTCCAGCCTTAACTCACCTTGGCCATTATGGTTGACCAGCCAGCCCTAACAAAATGCAACCGGGTCTCCACCTGGGAGCGGGAAGGTGGTGTGGGGGTAGGGGCTGTGAAAGGCTAAAAGATGGCCAAGAAATATCAAAAGTTGGGTTGCAGAATCCTCCCCATTCCTTCTCAGTAGACTTGCAGCCTCAAGAGGGTTTGGTGTTGGGGAGCTCACTGCAGGTTAGGAGGGTGAGATTTAGAACCCATTTATGTGTGGTTTGGGCCCATCCCTGGAAGAGGCATTGGTTGTTTCCCATAATTGGCAGCAATGGTGACATTATCTGATGAGTCACATAAGTGGCACCTGTCAGTATGGCATATAAGACCTGCAAATGTATAGTCACCCTAATAGAGTATTTGCTCCAGAGTGCAGAATTCAGGTAAAAGTGTATCCTATCTGCCATGGGCCATGGCGTGGGGACACAAAAGGCCTTCCCAAGAGAGTCTCACCTATAAAGTGAGGTCCTGAAATGGATTAAGGGGAGCAGATATTTTTTATCCTCCTTTCCTCCCTCCAGGAACTTCTTTCCTTCTGTTCTCTTCCCTTGTTCCCACCACCTTCCCTTGCCCAGATGGCCTCATCCTTTACAGCTGCAAGTGCCAACTAACTCAAATGGATGGCAGACTAACGTGCATGGTTTGACCTGAGTGTGTGATGGAAGACAGGGACCAAATGGACACAATGGAAGAATGGGGCCCTTGTCCCTCTCTGAAGAGCAATATTCTAGGTGGGCTTTGACTGCAAAAGGAAGTTTTCTTCCTCACACGCCATGTTCCTGCCAGTTCTCTGTCCCACATGAGTGCTTCACAGAGTCCTGGAGAAAGAAAGTGCCAAGAACAAAGAGGTTCCAGGCCAGCTTAGCCTCATAGTTTTCCTTCCCAGCAGACAGCATTCATCTCCTGGTGGGTAGGGAGGTAGTTCAACCCCAACACAAAGGGGAAAGATGCCGCTTTCCTTCATTGGTTGCTCCCTTGTCACATAGAAGGCTGATTCCCAGGGAACCAGCTGGAAAGGGGCGTTTCATCCTCTCTGAAAATAGAGGCCCAAGCCAACAACTTGTAGGCAGAGCTCAGAATCTCTTGTGATAGACAAGCCCCCAGCTCTGTCTCTGACTTGACTGGCATACCCGGACAATAACCCAAAGAGTTTGGCTCCAGATCTTAACTCTCCCTGCTCATTTCACACAGGTGACTAAGGAGCAGGAGCTTTGGACAACTCAAGCAGGAACACCTAGAGTCCTCATCCCACTTAGCAAACCTAGGGCCAGAGATAATGATGCTACTACCTAGACCACTCAGATGCTAAGATCATAACTGAGCCCAGAGTTCTCTGTAAAAGGTCTTCAGAGTTCTCCTTCACCCAAAAATGTTACAGGAGGCCACAAGAACAACATACTCATTTCCTGGTTGTGATAAAACATTTCCACAGGAATCTGGGATGCACTTGACAAAGTACCCAAGTCACCAGAGAACAGATGGTTCTTGAGACCAAGGATTTCAGAGGAGTATTAGGGTGGAGAGCGGGAGCGGGGTCTATTATAAAATGCCACCACTATATATTCATATTGCACATGGGATACACCTGGGGATGATATACTGGAGCATACATAGAACAGATACGTGCAGGTAGCACCCCCATCGGTATACTATGTTTGATGCCTCAAACTGTTACTTGAGGTCTATGAAACTGTTAACTGGTCGGAAATGGGAAAAGCCATTCCATAATAGCATCCTTTAAGGAGAAGCTTCAGGAGACATTTCTTGTCTGCTCAACTTGGAGCCAAAGCAAAGCAGCTCCTCTTTTTTTTTTACATATTAGGAAGTTTTTCTGTGTTGCAGTTCCCACAGATTAAGGTAATTTCTGCAAAACAATGCAGTGAAACCAATGATGAGAAAGTACAACCAGGAGCACGTCAGGCCTTACGTGGAGTTCTTGACAACACTGTCCTTTGAATAAAAAGTTAAGGTTCACACTAGATGACCTTTGAGAACTGGCCTAAAGCAAGGCTTTGTCTATGAGCCACGTTCATGGAACTGGAAGGAGTTGATGCGTTCCAACATCAGGTTCAGTGGCTTGACTAAGAAGCTTGGAATTTGTCTTTGACTATTTTAGAAGCACTTTGCCCCCTCTATTGGAAACAGTTTTATTCTGGAAGAGCTGGGGTGGTGGGAGGCAACGTGCAGGAAACTTACAGAGGCAGAAGTAGCAGGCTGAGGGAACAGCTGCTTCCACAGGTGGTTTACTTGGTGGGGGTGGGTAGAAGGACCAAAGCAGAAGTCACTCCCCATCAGTGCAAGTCTCTCTGCGGCACTCTGCATCCTTTCTTAGCAAGGTTAGAGTGATTCTAGATGATGCTAAGAAGGTTTGTGTAGGTTGTCCCGCTCAAAATCTCCGTGCCTCTCCCAACTCCTGAGCTGTACGGAGAGCGAGAACTGGTCCCAAGACCTTCCCTTAGCAGAGTTCAGGGTCTCCCTGCTGAGCTGCAGCTCCTGTGACTATCACCCTTCAAACACCACCCAGGTACCCGCTGTGACCCTCGCCCTCCTCCCCATCCTATGTGGTGTGGCTCTTGCCTGCCAGCAGCCTCTACTTCTCATCCTCATCCCCCTCGCTCATGCTGCTGATGGAGGCTGAGGCTGCTTTGGGTGAGGAAGGGGGTGAGGTTTTGAGCGGGAGCCATGAGAAGGTGGGCGAGGGGGAGCGGGAAGGGGACCGGCTCCGGGTTGGGCTGCTCACAGGACTTTGCTTCGGGGATAAGGCCTGCAGCATCCGGCTGCTCCTCTCCTGGAACATCTGCTTCTAAAGAGAAATTTGAGAGAAGGCATCTGTTAACTTAGCAGTCCAAGGCAGTAGTGAAACAAAAAGGTAAAGCAGGCAGAAGAGCCACTACCCCAGAACTGAGCCCTCAAACCTAGACTCATACCACATCTCATGTTGTCCAAGACTATGTATAGTAAGGAACCAAGTGACATTCAGGGGCAGTGACAGAAGATTACAGTCACCACTGTTTTTTTGTTTTTTGAGACGGAGTCTCGCTCTGTCATCCAGGCTGGAGTGCAGTGGTGTGATCTTGGCTCACTGCAACCTCTGCCTCCCAGGTTCAAGCGATTCCCCTGCCTCAGCCTCCCAAGTGGCTGGGATTATAGGCATGTGCCACCACGCCCAGCTAATTTTTGTGTTTTTTTTAGTAGAGGTGGGGTTTTGCCATGTTGGTCAGGCTGTTCTTGAATTCCTGACCTCAGGTGATCCGCCCACCTCGGCCTCCCAAAGTGCTGGGATTACAGGCAGGAACCACTGTGCCCAGCTACTGCTGGTTCTTAATGCTTTTTCCTTCTTCCCTTCTTTTCTTCCATCTACAAAATGTAACTGAGTGTCTATGATTAGCCAGGCAAGCAGTCATGATCTAGGGACTGGAGGGGTGGCAGAAAAGAAAACAAAAACCCTGACCTCACAGATATGAGGAGGAATCACACTATAAACAAAATATGGTATGTCAGATGGATCTGTGGTCTGTGAGAAAAAGAGGGTGAGAGGATAGCAAGTGGGGGTGGGAGCAGGATGGCTGCAATTGCAAACAGGGTGCTCCAGGAAGGCCCCACCGAGAAAATGCTACTTGGGTGAAGAATGTGGAAGAGATGAGGGGAGGGACCAGGTGAATGGAAATCAGAGGGCAGCGCACTCCAGACAGAGCACCCCAAGAAAGGAGCATGGACCACACATCTGGGAAGTGCAGGCAGGCCACTAAGGGAGGGGATTAGGAAGAGGTCGCCAGTGAAGGCAGAGAGGGCAATGCCATGGAGGGCCTTGGCAGCCATTGTGAGAACTCTGCCTTTCAGTCTGAGGGGACCTGCACAGCAGTTTCCAGGAGGGAAGGAGGCCATCGTGGCAGTGTGGAGTGAGCTAGCGGGGAAGAGAGAGTGGGAGGCGCTTTGGGAGATCAGGCCAGAGACATAGGGGGCTGTTTCACATACAGTCTCCTCTGAGAAGAGAAACCTCTGGAGAGTTCTGAGCAAAGGATTAACAATCTGCTGCTTGTTTTCAAAGGACCATTCCAACTGCTGTGTTGAGAACAGACTGCCATGAGGTGGGGGCAGGAGCAGGGAGCCCAGTTATGAGCCCATTGCAGTAGGAATCCTAGGCTGCACAAGGTGGCTCCCACCTGTAATCCCAGCACTTTGGGAGGCTGAGGCAGGCAGATCATTTGAGGTCAGGAGTTTGAGACCAGCTTGGCCAACATGGTGAAACCCTGTCTCTACTAAAAATACAAAAAAATTAGCTGGGCGTTGGAGCCGGGGGGCACCTGTAATCCCAGCTACTCAGGAGGCTGAGGCAGGAGAATCGCTTCAACCCAGAAGGCGGAGGTTGCAGTGAGCTGAGATGGCATCGCTGCACTCCAGACTGGGCGACAGAGTGAGACTCTGTCTCAAAAAAAAAAAAAAAAATTTAAGATGGCGATGAAGCCCGGCCTGGTCCAGGATGATGGCAGTGTGGTGAAAAATGGCAGGATTCCTAGTATATTTTTCCCCATATTCTTACTGAGGTATAATAAACTCACCCTTTTCAGTGTGCAGTTCCTTGAGTTTTGACAAATGCATACAATTGTGTGACCACCACTCCAATCAATGCATAGGAGGGTCACATCAGCTCCCAAATTCCCTCGTGACCCTTTGGAGTCTCCCCTCCCCCAGTCACTGGCAACAGATCTGTTTTCTTTCCCTACAGTTGTGCCTTTTCCAGAATGTCATCAAAATGGAATCCTACAGTATGTGATCTGGCTATGTTTTCACGGAGGAGCCAACAGGACTCAATGACAGATGGGACATGGGATGTGGGAGGAACAGGAATCAAGTTACTCCAGTCTCGGGCTGAGAAATTGGAAAGCAGTGATGCCATTTGCCAGTTTGGGGAAGACTGTGTGGTGGGAGGAGGTTTTGGCGGTTAAGATCAGTTTGCCAGTTTGGGACCTCTGGTGACGGTGGCTGGGTGCTTTCAGAATTGAGCCCTTCCCTGATGCTCCTCACTGGACTCTGCATTCCACTGACTCCTGAGCATCCTGCCTGCCCTGCCTGGGGTCTTTCAATTGCTCACAGTTGAGCCTCAGCCCCCCAGCCACTCAGTTCAATCCTTTGATACTAAACTTGCCCTGAAAGCCAATTCTCCTATTTGCCACCTTAGACTTGGCTTGTCTTTTGGCTTATTCATTTTACAAACCATTACAGATATCTTTTGGGGACCAGGTGCTACACAAGAGGCAAGGGAGGAAGAAGAGTGTAGAAGAGGTGTCATGTCTCAGCTGGGTCTTTGATAATGCCTAGGAAGAGGTGGGTGACGATAGGAAGTGGGTCCATGGGGGCTGGCAGAGGATGGCCTTTCCAAGCAGAGCATGCTAAGTAAGGAGTACTAAGTCCAAGTTGCTTGGTGTGACCAGAACCCCAAATGCCCATGGGGTGGCAATGGTCTGGACCTAGAGCACCACAAGGAGGCTGGATTTCCTACTCAAGAACCCCAGAAAGTTGTTAATCAAGGGTGGAATCTGATCAGATCTGTGTTTTAAAAATACCTTTGGGTGTCAGCATAAAAGAAAATAAAGAAACCATAAAGGAAAAGATTGACATTTGACTACACAAAAATTTAAAATGTCTATACTCAAAAAAAAAAGAAAACCCACCATGAAGTAAGATAAAAGGCAAATCAAAATATAGCAGAAATTTTTGCAATGTTTACCTAAAAATTATAGATCTTGGTATATACACAGAGCTTGTAAATCAAAAAGAAGGTGAAAACCTTAGTAGAACAATGAGCATATGGGCCAGGCATGGTGGCTCACGCCTGTAATCCCAGCACTTTGAGAGGCCAAGGCGGGCAGATCACAAGGTCAGGAGATCGAGACTATCCTGGTGCAATCCCGTCTCTACTAAAAAATACAAAAAATTAGCCAGGTATGGTAGCGCATGCCTGTAGTTCCAGCTACTTGGGAGGCTGAGGCAGGGGAATCGCTTGAATCTGGGAGGCAGAGGTTGCAGTGAGCCAAGATTGTGCCACTGCACTCCAGCCTGGCAACAGAGTGAGACTCTGTCTCAAAGAAAAAAAAGAGCATATGGCCTATATATGCAAGTCCCAAGAGAAATTTGTAAATGAGCTATAAAAGCCGTTCAGCATCACTAGTAATCGACCAAATGCAAATGGCCGAAATGAGACACATTTTATATATCAGATTGCTAAAGTTTAAAAATTTTGTTACAGCTAGTTGAGGGCTCAGGAAAAGGGCCACCCTCGTGTTACTGCTGGTAGGAGGATAAATTAGCAATGCCTTTCTGAGGGGTAATTTGGCAATAGATGCAAAAACTTCTATTTTCTGAGGAGATAACCAGAGATGTAAGTATATCTTTATCATGTCTAATGGTATTCAATGCAATGTATAACACGCAACACTGCAAATTCTCTAACCAGGTTAGAGAAATCTGTGCAACTCCAAGATGATATAATAAGCGGATGAGGAGAATCAGGTTCTTAAATAATATTTCATCATGCGAGAAAACACTCATGAGCAACTTGCAAACCCAAAATGATTTCAGAACACTATGTTCTGCATGATCTCAAGTTTGTAGAAGAAATGTACATATACAGAGATGGAAAACAGATGGGAGTGATAACCCAAAATTTTAACATAGACTGCGCTGGGTGATGAGACTGCCAGTGATTTCAGTCCCTTCTTTACTTTCTAATAGTTCTATAATGAATATATATTACTTTTTTCATCATAAAAAAGCATCACAATAGGAAGAAAGAGTTCAGGTAACCCGAGCAGAGAGATCAGGTGGAAGGGCAGGTGTTACAATAATGACATTGGTAAGGAATTACTAAGGCCACAGACACATCACCAGTAGCACTGCCCCCACCCCCAACCCAACACTCATTTTTCCTAAGCTCTAGCCCCTTACTTTTTAGAGTCCTAAGTTTCCTCTGGCAGATATAATAATAGATGACTGGCTGACTGTTCAGGTCTTTTCCAGATTTAAAATTCCACATGTCTGCTAATATACCAATCATTTACCTTCCATTAAGGGCATTGATAATTCTGCCAAAAGACATCAAACCCCCCTCAAAGTCCAACAGAAAGAAAAGGTACGCTACAACAGCACTCCCTTAGATTAAACCCATTTATGAGACAAAATCAAATGCCATAAGGATTGGGCGGCCTATTATTAACAGCAACATTTAAAAACATTCCTGAACTCCTAGCAGGCACTTTAAAATATGTGTTTTTATTACTGTAATCTTTAAGTATATTTTCTGCGGCAGCCATTAGCCCTCCTGCTGTTAATGGATTGTCAGCATTTCCATTAGAAGTTCACTTTCTAAGAAATCTACAACTTGTCTACTGTAGTTTGAATCAAGCTCGTAGCTGAGAATATTCTGCCTGAGAGGGTGAAAGAACTTGAATCTTTAATGATAAACAATGGTGTCACACTTCATAAAATGCAATATCCATGCAAAATAACTCCCAGACTCAATTTGCCAGCTCTCTGATCTGTTTCTAGTGCATTTTGAAGGGTGGTTCCCCTGCAAAGGACCTGAATTCAATACAGTCAGGAGACAGTTTGTAATGAGCTTCTTGGGAAGAAAAGTGCTTTAGAAATATAACAAATAAGGAAGACCAGGCGTGGCATTTTCAAAGAGTAAAAGTATTTAAATTCAGTCTCTTATGGTATTAAGAGGTTTCCATTTATAAAGTTTCCCCCCAAGAAAATAATCCCATTTATAGTCCTGTCCATATGAAAGTCATTTTCTATTTCTCT